GTTGCAGTATAAGATGCTGCTTTGGCTGCTGCAGTCATTCTTTAAAACCCAAGCAAACACATTGGAAAAACCTATACAATTACTAGTGATTACATAAGCAGTGATGAATAAGCATAAACATTTTCTCAAGCTCTTGGAAGATAAATAAAATATGTAAATGCTACTTTCGAAGGAACAAAGTAAGCATTGTTGAAATTCATGCCTGAGTGGTAGGTTGATGGTGTATTAGAGCTATATAAATTGATAGAGAAAAACGATATTAGTCAAGTAAATCATACAAATGATTTTCAATAAATTACAGGAAGCTAACCAACCACAAATTTAAGTTGGATGTAGCAAAATGGTAAAGCCTTTTGAATACAAATTTAAATATTAATTATTAAGTATGTGCATTTTATAGTAAATTGTTTAACTTGTATTAAATATTTTAATATTTTTTTTTGATAAACATTATTTTATTAAATAAATTCTGAATTTTTATTAAAAAAAAATAAGTTGATTAATTTGATAACAAATTTTTCAAAATTTCTCTAAAAAGTAAAAAAAAATATTAAAATTAAAAATATGGATATTAGAATTGAGAAGAGATAAGCAAAATATGTATAATTAAGGTATTTAAAAATTATTTAATTCATTTTAAATTCTGATATGTTAGAAATTAGTGTAGAAAATAGTATGTGTATATTCAAGATATTTATAAAATTGTATCAATATTTTAAGAAATTAAAACTTTTTTATATTTATTGAAGTAAGTTTTAATTTCTAAATTTATAAACAAATAAATATAAGTAAACAGTAATTTATTGAATTAATTTTCTATATATTTGATTATTTTTTAATAATAGACACTTGCCATAAATAATATTTATTTTTTCTTTTAAAAATAATGGAATATAAATTTCTTTTGTTTTAAAAGAAATTAATATTTGTGATACTTTCAGATTTAATGAATTAAATTATTAAAAAAAGTTATTCTTAATGTTATTCTGGACTATTTAATTAAATGTTCTATTGTTTTTCTTCTTTTTTTCTTTTTAGTTAGTAAGTTTGAATTTAATTAAAAAAAAAATTGAAATATAATTAAATCTGATCTAATCATTTCTTTTTTACAAATTAAGTTATTTTTAATTAAATTTTTACTATTGAATCTTAATTAATTTTTCTTTTTTATTTATTTTAATATAATAGAAGACTCATTCAAATTTTTATTTAAATTTGATTTGAAATCTACTGATTCTTTATAATTATTTTTAAAATAAATAAATTAATAAATTTTCATCAAATTATCAAAACAAAAATAAATAGTTTAAAATCAATATAAATAAATGAGCTCTCAAAAAATTTTAGTTTTAGGTGCCACTGGATACATTGGATCTGCAACTGTCAAAACTTTAGCTAATCTTAAAGCTAATGTTACTGCTGGTGTTAGAGATCCCTCAAAAGCTAAAGAATTATAAAACTCTGGTGCTTAAGTCATTAAAGCTGACATGAGTCAAAACTAAGCTGAACTTGCTAGAATTCTCTCAAATTACAACTCTATTTATCTAGTAACTCCTGGTCATATTGACCGTACATAAATTACTATTAATGCAATACAAGCAGCTTAATAGGCCAATGTCTAATACTTACTTGTTGTTTCTGTAACTTGTGCTGATAATCAAGATGTTTTGTTTGGAAGACAGTTCACTCCAATTGAAAAAGAACTCAAAGCTAGCGGATTAAAATATGGAATATTAAGATTACCAATGTTCATTGATAATGTTTGGGGAAACAACGAACCAATCAGAACACATAACACTTTCTATGGTCCTATCAATGGAGACAAGAAGTTTGTAACTGTTGCAGTATAAGATGCTGCTTTGGCTGCTGCAGTCATTCTTTAAAACCCAAGCAAACACATTGGAAAAACCTATACAATTACTAGTGATTACATAAGCAGTGATGAATAAGCATAAAAATTTTCTCAAGCTCTTGGAAGATAAATAAAATATGTAAATGCTACATTCGAAGGAACAAAATAAGCATTGTTGAAATTCATGCCTGAATGGTAGGTTGATGGTGTATTAGAGCTATATAAATTGATAGAAAAAAATGATATTAGCCAAGTTAATCATACAAATGACTTTAAATAAATAACAAATGTTTAATCAACCACAAATTTGAGTTGGATGTGGCAAAATTTTAAAGCATTTTGAAAAGTAATTAAATATTTATAATAAGTATGTACATTTTATAAAAGTGTTTAAAATCAATTAAATATTTTGATATAAATTTTTAAAATACAAATTATATTATTTTATTAATTTAATACTAAATATCTACTAAACAAAATTTGAAAATTAAAGAGTTATTTTGGTCATTAAGATACATATTCTTTAAAAAAATTTATAATATTTAACTATAAATTTTCATATATTAAAGTGACCATTAAAGGTTAATTTTAAAAAAATTTATAAAGCTTTAAAATATATAAAACAAAAAATCAATAGTTCCCTGCTATTATCCTACCCCACCACCCCCTCCTAAAATTTTTTATCAGTATTGATATTGTACACTCTATCATTTAAAACTTTCAAGAATTTTACATCCACTTATACTTGTATTATTTTATTAAGAAATGTAAATTAAGCTAATATTTTAAAGGCAAACAAAAGAGTCTTTGATAATTGATTGCATACAAGTGTTCAAAATAGTTATTATTTGCATAAAAAGGTAACCATTTTGAATATATCACTGTTTGATTTTATTTAAAAAATAATTCAATCTCTAGTTTCTCAGTAATTTGATAATAGTAAGAAAATAATAAGAATTGTACCTGTAAATAAAATACATTAGGAGGCGAAAATGTGTAGAGTAAGGTGTAAATTAATTAGAAGCTAACCATTTTTTGGATAAAATCTTGAAATTTTTGTAAATAAATTATTTATTTTTGACAAATAAATAACAATTAATACAATTATATAACACATATTAAATATTTTTATCATTCTCTAAAATATTTTCTAAAATAAAAACATAAAAACTCATATTAAAACAATCATTTTAATTTAGTATAGACTATTGAATTTTAGAGAAATTTGCTTGTTTTATTATTAATAGCTTCACAAGAAATCAATTGGCTTTACTAAAAAAATACTACTCTTTACTTATTTGCATTATGAATTTATGATTCTTTCAGGTTTAGTAAATTAAACTATCAACAAAAGTTATTCTTAATGTTATTTTGGATAATTTAATTAAATATTCGATTGATTTTCTTTTTTCTTTATTTTTAGTTAGTAATTTAAAATTTAATTAAATCTGATCTAATCATTCCTTTTTTACAAGTAAAGTTATTTTTAATTAAATTTTGATAATAAAAACTGATTTAATTTTTCTTTTTTATTGATTAAATAAAATAGAAGACTCATTCATCAATTGATTTAAATTTGATTGGATTCTATTAATTTTAACAAATATTTAAAAAAAAAATAAATAAGTAAATTTAAAACATTCAAAAATAAATAGTCAACAACTTTCTTTTAATAAATGAACTCTCAAAAAATTTTAGTTTTAGGTGCTACTGGATACATTGGATCTGGAACTGTCAAAACTTTAGCTAATCTTAAAGCTAATGTTACTGCTGGTGTTAGAGATCCCTCGAAAGCTAAAGAACTATTAATATCAGGTGCTTAAGTTATTAAAGCCAACATGGACCAAAACTAAACTGAACTTGCCAAAATTCTCTCTAACTACAGCTCTGTTTATTTAGTAACTCCTGGTAATATTGATCGTACATAAATAACAATTAATGCAATCCAAGCTGCTAAATAAGCAAATGTTTAATACTTACTAGTTGTTTCAGTAACTTGTGCTGATAATCAAGATGTTTTATTTGGAAGACAGTTTAATCCTATTGAAAAAGAACTCAAAGCTAGTGGATTAAAATATGGAATATTAAGATTACCAATGTTCATTGATAATGTTTGGGGTAATAATGAACCAATCAGAACACACAACACTTTCTATGGTCCCATCGATGGAGACAAGAAGTTTGTAACTGTTGCTGTATAAGATGCTGCTTTGGCTGCTGCAATAATTCTTTAAAACCCAAGCAAGCACATTGGTAAAACTTATACAATTACAAGCGATTACAAAAGTAGTGATGATCAAGCTTAAGCATTTTCTTAAGCTCTTGGAAAATAAATAAAATATGTAAATGCTACTTTCGAAGGAACAAAATAAGCATTATTGAAATTCATGCCTGAGTGGTAGGTTGATGGTGTATTGGAGCTTTATAAATTAATTGAGAATAATGATTTCAGCTAAGAAAATTACTCAAATGATTTTCAATAAATTACAGGAAGCAAACCAACTACAAATTTGAGTTGGATGTACCAAAATTTTAAAGCCTTTTGAAACTAATTAAAATATTTGATACAAAATTTATAGTATGATTTAAATGTATTGATTTAAATTTTTATAAATAAATAATAATATTATAAATATGGAGTTATAAATTTTTATTAAATAAAATTTGAAAATGAATTTCTATAAAAATGTTATAATTTTTTTAATATATATTTCAAATTAAATCAAAACAAATTTAATGAAATTATATAAACATTATTTGTTGAGCGAAAGTTTTATAACAATAAGTGTTTTTCTTATCAACCACAGAAATATAATTATTTACCATAAAAAATAAAATTGATAATAATAAAATCTGTCAAAAAAAAATAATTATATAAATAAACTAACAAAAGTAAACTAAGGATTTAAATGGCAAGTGATATTAATTAGATAGCTTTTAATAACTTGAAATTTAAGTATTTGTGAGATAATTATTCTTTAATTTTTTATGATAATATCTAAATAAAATATTTTCTTTTTAAATAAACTAATCACAAAATATATTAATAAAAAATGAAAAATAATTGATAAATTTATTTAAATATAAAACACTAATATGAATACATAAGTAATAGATTTTTATTAATGAACTTTTTTAAATAGTTGAATCAGCAATCAAACTACTAAGGAATACTCCATGTTTAATCAGTAAGGGCAACAAGTTCCATTTCATTCTAGCTTAAACATGGAGTGTAGCCTCTACTGAATCCGTATGTGGAATAGATAACAACAGTAAAATATTTAGATTCACTGCAGATATTTTTAGCATAAATTTTATCACCATTAATTACTTTTTCTAAGCAAGGAACATAATAATCTTACAAAGAATTTTAACTAGACTTTTGTAATGTAATAACAGTTGTTAAGCCTAACAAGGCGAGTATAGAAATCAATATAATAGTTTATTATATTTTCATTTTCTTTTTTTCTAGCAAAGTTATTTATTTATTTATCTTTTGTTTAAAATATAAACTATTAAGCTTGTTTTAAGATCGTATAATTTAAAATTTCCAAAGATAAAAAATTGTAAAAGAAATTTAACAGTAAATATTTTGAAATGCAATAATTTATGATAAGAAGTTCTTATCAAATATGGAATTTTTGATGAATTATACAAAAAATTAATTTATCTATTTTAGTTTTTGTCTCTCTCTGATTTATTAAGATAATTTAAGTAAGCTTAATAGATTTTATTATATTTGACTATCTAATAAAAATATACTTAATCTATTTGAATTATCTATGTAAATTTAAAAAAATTTATTTATTGTTTGAAAAGGAATAGTATCTATTAATATTAATAAAGAAATTTTTTTTGTATTTAATTTTGTTAATTAAGAAAAAATCATTTTTTTTATTTTGATAAATAATTAAGATTAAATCTTTGTTTTATAGTATTAAATCAATGATATATTATAATTATCTGATATAGATTAGTTAGAATAATATTTAAAAATTATAAAAAATTTGTATTTTTTATAAAATTTGAAATTTTAAAAATTTTGATACCAACAAAAAAAATTGTTTATTATAAATTAACAATATATTATTATATAATTTAATTTACTTATTTTAAATTTAAGTAAAAATAATAATTTTGATTTTAAAGACTTATTAATAAAATTATTCTATTAAATATTTAACTTTTATTTTAAAATATGAAATTTATTATTTATTTTTCAAGCTTAGTTTTATTTAATTATATCTAACAATGTATTCTTGAAAACTGAATTTCTTTTCTCGTACTATGTAGCAGCAATATCAGCAAGATCATTATCATCTAATGATTTGAATACCTTACCTAAAAAGGCCTATTAAATATTATTTTAAATATCAGATAATTAAAACTCTTCTTCTTCTTTAATTTTAGTTCCTTAGAAAATAAATTAAAAAGCTATAAGTATTTGCTAAATAAGCTGTTTATCTTGGAACAGCTGCATACCAAATTTAAGCTCAGTATCAAGCTAATCCTTAAGCGCCTATTATGTTAGTTATCATTAAATATGTTTTAATTAAGATTATAAATTAAAAATCACATACAATATGAGTTCTTGCAAAGATTCTTTCTATCATTAATAATTTTTATAACTTATTTAAGTACATGTTTGAGATAACAGAAATAATGAAAGGCTAAAACATTTTATTTTAGTTTTGTTGTCTCTATAAAATAGCTTCTTTTAGTTCTACAATAGCCCAGTTATCTAAGCTTGGAGGAAAGCAAATGATAACAACATCACACTGTTCAATTAACTATATAAAAATAGTAAATTATTTGCTATATTATTTTCTTATCAAACATATCTTACTTTTTCATTATCAAAATATATATTGAAACCGATATCTTCATATTTACTTAGATTTTCAGGCCTTCTAGTAGAAATATGAATGTTATTAGGTTCAACCCAACCTAAAACAATTATATTAATTAGTAAATAATTAATAAAAGAGTCAATTTTACCTAATAAAAACACCAAAGCGTTTAACACAGACTTGCCTATAACTCCACATCCAATAATTCCAATTTTAAAATCTGACAAAAACTCATTCATAGTTTTAGATTTGTTTTCTTCTAATTTTTACTAGAGATTGAAAAAAGATAATGATAAGGGAAATGAACGAATTTATTTTACATAGACTAGATCAAGATACACCTGAATATAAAATATAACTTAAGAGGTTATGCAAGATTTTATTCTTATCTGTTATTCTATGTCTTTTTTAAAAGCAGGATCAAGTAAAATACTCAAAGACTGATTATCTTTCTCATCAAAATAAGGTTTTATCAAAAGCTTCTCATTTTCTCCCAAAAAAGAGTACTTACTCCTTTGTATTTAGTTTATATTAAAAAAGTTGCTTGCGTCCATTATATTTTCTGTCTTTAAAATAATATATTTTAATCTTATTGTGTATAAATAGCAATTTAGTTTTATTCTAACGTAGATATTTAAAGATTTTTGAAAATTGACTATACTTAACAAATTAATTAATAAGTACTCTTAAATTAAAATAGAAGAGGTTGAAATCAAATATAAATAGATATTAGTTACAAAGAACTATGAACTATTTATAATGTTTCGTTGAAATATAACAAAAAAATGGTATAAAACTTATACAAAGATGAGATGTATAAAAAACATAGCATTCAATAAAAAATAAAATCTTCCAATTTTTGAACAAATAAATTTTATAAAACTAAAATGACAAATCATTTGATATATGAGTTTTTTTAATTTAATTTTCAAACAAATATGAATAATCAGTAAGCAAACAAATATTTTCTACCATTCCATTTAATTAATTATTTCAATATTAAGCAAATAATTATGCAATAGCTATATTTAAATATTTATATTCTTACTTCATCTTACTATTTACTAATATTTTAAGCAATAAATTTAGTATTTTATGTCCTTGTAATTTATTAAAATGGTAAATATTTATTCTAGATGAATTACTAATTGAATAAAATAAATTTTTATTTCAATTATATTTTAAAATATTTATAAAAAAAAATTTTTTAATTAATTTTAATTTTAGATAAATTCAGATAATCAAATCAATAAATGATAACTGAAAAAATAAAGAAATAATTAAATTTAATGAAAAAGTAAGTTGAGAAATAAATTATAAAATATTTTATGAAAAAAATAAAAATTTAAAATAACTAAATATATTAATTAATTCAACAACATTGAATGAATGATTGAGAAATGTATTTTTAATTAAAACTTAAAAAAGCGATAACAAGAATATATCAATATTATTTTATATTTAAATAGGAGAGTAGAATATAAAGAAATAATAACTTATTTTCATGGTATTTTGAATATTATAAAGCTTAGCCTCATGAATCAATAAATTAATTAATTTATTAATTTATTTTTTGAGTGATATAATTTACAAAAGCTATTTATTTGCATGAATGCCGATAGAATTAATTAAGCTAGTTGAGAAATGGCAAGCTTAATTTATTTGATAATTGCTTATTAATTAGAATCAAATTAAAATATTCACATCACAAAAATTTTTATCTTTAGCGCTTGGTTTGTTGTTTTGTATTGAGTATATTCAATTGAATGCCTTTCAAGTTTTTAAAACAGTTTTATAATAAAGAGAGAGTAATTAATTTTGTTGATTAATTCATTATTAAAAAATATTATTTTATTTTTGACTTTGTAGCTAGTTTACATGCAAGCAGTTACATACATACCTACCTACTTACTTACTTCATCTTAACAGATTTTATTTATTTAAAATATTATTTTTCAATCAAAATAATTTCTTGGAGCCAATCAAATTTTGATAAATTCTCAAATTGGAAAGGTCAACGATTTAAGAATATTTTTGTAAAGTTTTAACAATCATTTCGTTTTAAGAGGCCTTGGGCTTGAATTATTCATAGTAATAGGCATCATCAACTTTCTTAATTAAAGCGCTAGCTATTTCTGAGTTAAGGAAAAGATTTTTGGAGTAAACTCTCAATAATTGTAAGGCCAATTCTGCATGAAGTTCTTAGCTGTTATTAGATAAAGCCTACTTCAAGGTTTATTCAGCTCCGGTGAAGTATTTTTAAGAAAGAGCTCTGAACTTCTTTAATGATTCTCCAAAGAAGGCGAGATCCTTAAGATTGGTGATGTCTTTAATGTTCTTTTCTACGTATTCTTAAGTAAACTTTTTAGTTTCGCCGCTATAACCCAAAGAAGCGATAGAGTATGAAAAAATAGCTAAAAGTTGGGTGTTGCTCTTATCAAAAGTTTTAAGCCAAGTTTATTCTAACTTTTGTAAGAATGAAACATCAATAAGATCAGCAGGGAATCTGCTGTTTTTGGAGTTTTATTGCTTAACTTTATAAATTGAGTGAGTCAATGCAGTGATAGTATTTGCTTGGAGCTTGGGAATAAGATCCATCTTTTACTTTACTAATCCAATCAATTCTACTTATTTATAGCTTTGAATAAGAGGTAAAATATTTGATATCAATAAGAAACGAGTGTTAACATCTTAAACTACATCGAAATTGGTGCTTAAATAAGATGTAGCAACCTAAGAAATGTTTTCAACGCAATTTTCGTGATGGAATTTATTGGAGAATTTCAATACGGTGGTCAAAGTTAAAACAGAGTTTTCAATGTACTTCTATGAGCGAGCAGAATCTAAAGTTTTTAAATCATTGTATTCACTTTTTTACATGAGACGGCAGTAATTATTTGCAAGATTTTCCCACAACTTTGCATCGTTAGGCAAGTACTTTTTGGCTAAAGTTGTAAGGACACCAAAATTTTTTAAATTAAAAGATAAAATTTGTTCCTTAATAAGTTTGCTAAGGGCTGATTGAATCAATTCGGTGATTTCTCCTCCCTTCTTAGAGAATTGCTTGTCAAGTTCGACTAAATTATTTAGAACCTTTTCAGGGTGCTTTTAAACTAAAAATTTATCCTAAACTTCGAGTAAAATAGTTTCGGGAACAGAGTGATCTTCAAAAACGTGCATATTTTTCATATTTTTCTCCTTTTCATCTGCTTATTTTTTTAATAAGGCAAAATCTTCTTCTTTGTTGAAGAATAAATGAGACTAATGAGCCTAACTTGCAGCTAAATTAGTGAGATCGTAATCATAATTTTTAGATTACTTTCTAATAACCATTCCCTTACGAGTAAAACGGTGATCTCTTAAAATTTTAGGAGTAGTCTAACGCTTAGAAAATTTAGAAAAGCCGCATGCTGATCTCCATAATAAACTAATGATGCTTTACTATTTGCTAACTATCATTTCTCTTTATAAATATCAATTCAATTTCTTATTTTTATTAATTAAAGGATAAACGCTTTTCTTTTTTGTTCTTCTTTTTTCTTTTTTTGCTTTTTGCTTCTATCACATAATGCAAAATATTAATACACAAAAAGATAGATCAATTGATAGCTAGATAAATTGATAGATTGATAGATAAATAGATAGATAGATACATAGATACAAACAAATTAACTAGCAAATTAAATTAAAATAAATATCTCTTTTTGAATATAAATTTACATACAAATAGCTAATTAGTTAGTTAATTAGTTAGTAGGCATTGTCCTCATATAAATATTATTTCTCCCTTAAAAATCTATGTAAAAAATAAATATACAAAATATTTATATTTTTTTAATCTTTATACTTTCAATTCTTTAATCTATTTTCATTAATTCAATTCAAATATTGAATAAAATTTACTTCTATCTAATTTAAAAGAAAAATATATATATAAAATTTAGATCTCTTCAAATTAGATTTTTGTCTTCTATCAAGCACAAATCAAATTTTTATTCTGCTTATTTATATGATTTTTGTATTTTATTTAAATAAAATTAATGGATTTTCATATAATATTAGGGTTTAATTATTTGCTAGCCCTTGATATAATTGACAAATATTTTATAATTATAGTAGAATCATTAATATTTTTAAAATCGCTTCAATATTCATATACTTTAACTATTTAAAATAATTGCAAACTAATAATACCTACTAAAATTTATATTTTATATTAAAATATTTTTTATAAATTAAGAAAGGCAAAACAATAAATTATCTAATGTTAATTACATTAAAAACAAACAACTAAAAATAAATAATACCTTTAGCAGTCGTCTATATTTTTCATTTGTTAGAATATTTCAACAAATAATCAAAAAATTTAAATATTAATTTAAACTAATTTTTATTTTAATTTGTTTGTATTTTATTTCATATTACTTGTTTATAAAATTAAATTTTAGAATTAGAGTTTATTAAATTAAATTTTAGTATTTATTATAGTTTATTAAATTGATTATTATTTATTTATTGATTTATTTATTTGTTTGTTTGTTTGTTTGTTTGTTTGTTTGTTTGTTTGTTTGTTTGTTTGTTTGTTTGTTTGTTTGTTTGTTCATTGCTTACTTTTATTTGATTCAATTTTGTTACATTTTTTTTGCTTCTTTTTTGGAATGTCTGCATACCCACATCTCTTAAACCATTTGTTTCCAAGTTATTGCAAATCAGCTATAGAATCAGCATAATATTTATCAATTAATTCAATCTGTGAATTATCAAAATTTTTATAATCATTATCAGGTTAAGTAAAATTTTAATAGGAGTCATATTAATATTAGAATGCTTCTTATTATTACTATCTAAATTTTAAAAAGTTTTTGTAAGCTTTTTGATCTTCGAATTTAAATGTGTAAGTGGAAAGTATGTATTATGATTTAAAATGAAGGTTATGTTTCTTGTCATATTCATGTGCTAAGAGGTACACATCAATTATTTGTTTAACAGGAAATATAAAGCTATCACAAGTGATTAACTCAGTTTATTCAACAACCTGAAATCGATGTGGTTGTAAGCCTAATTTAATTGCTTATAAGCATTAATTTATTTCTATAAATACATTCTCTAACTTGTGTATTTATGTCCTTGGATCACAACACCCATTTTTTTACAAAAAATCCATAAAAAAATATGAGTTCTATGCTAGAATATAGTAAAGCTAAGGAGAGTATCCTGCTTTCCTACTTTCAAATAAACATTTTTCAAAGTTTGGGACATGATAATAAAAGAAAATCATTTCATTTTGATCTAGCTTGCTTATGATCTCCTGATATTTTTGTTCGCAAAATTATTGTCTGTCTTTGTAGTGTTTTTTAAAAAGAATATCTTAGCTTTCTTAAAACAATAAAATTTTAAATTCTTATACTGTATTCCATAGCTGTTGCAGCTAGCTAATTACAATCAGCAAGTTAGAATCTCCTAAGGATTTAAGCATAAATAATATTTATTCTATATTGTTGAGTTTAGATGGAAAAAACTCTAAATCAACCTCAATAAATTTATTATCAAATCGATGAAATATCTAATTAATAAATCTAAATCCCTTTTAAATCTATTATAGCTTATTTTCATTAATATAAGTTTCCTTTTAAGAATAGTTTTTGAAGTAATCAATATCAATAACTATATCTGTATAAATGTAAAATTTTGTATTAGCAGAAAATAATTTCTGTCCGTTTAAGTACTTATTTATGAATAAGTATTCAGCTTATTTTTTTTTGTTTTTATTTTTAATTTATGAAGAATTTGTTTCCCCTACTAAATCAAAAATCTAGCTATCTTCTATATCCCTATTAGGCTTTTCATTTCGTGTTGTCATACTTGATATTTGATACTCTCGTTAATCAAAAATAAGATCATCGCTTATTTACCTCATGCTATCTTTAGATTAGCTTTTCGTAGATATTAAAGTTTCATTTTAATATGAAATGCAATCTTAATTGTTAATTTTTATGTGAAAACCTGAAAAATAGTCATTAAATTCTATTAATTTAAAGGATTTTTAATTTTATTCTAGTTTATTATTGTCTTATTAAGCTAACTTCTCTTATTCTTCTTCTTGAATAATAATCTTATTGCAAAAATATTTATTTACTTAACCTTAATTTTCATTATTCATATTAAAAATATTATGATTTATAATCAGTAAAAAATTTAATAAAGAACCTAATCACAATTACATTTAATAATCAACAAATATTTCAAAGTGCTTAGAATTAATTATTTATAAAATATGAATGCAATAGCAAAATCCAAAGACAAATTAATTATATAATTACTTATTCAATTTTTGAATAGAATTTAGTTAGGTTTTATATCTTTTTAATAATACTCATTTCATTATAAAAATCATGAAAAAGATTAATTTTTTAATAGAGGATTTTATATATAAAGCTAGGCATCTATGAATAAATCTATCTATCTATTTAATAAATTCACCAATTTTAAAAAAAATTAAATTATTAAATCTCATAGAATTATTTTGCTAGATTACTTCCATACTTTTAGTAGTTAATTATGAAATCTTTAATTAAAATAAAAATTCATTAAAATATATATTTAGAATTTGCTGATTTATTTATTGTCTTTTTGAATTTAGAATGTATGTTTATATGTTATTAAATTAAAATAATAAATATATCTAAATAGTTATTATTTAAATTTATATTAAATACTTTGATAAAATTATTTAACCTAAATTTAATAAAGTATATACATAAATATATACCGTAAATCCTCATAAATTCTCACCAGCATAAATTTTCACCATATTTTCTGAATATTTATAAATATTTCAGAATTTCTTTATGTAAAATTTTAAAGATTTTGATTATTAGTAAAATTAGTATAAATACTATATAGGTACAAATATTTGATAAGTGTTAATTAATTTATATGTTTGAAACTTTATTTGATAATTAATCTAATAAGATTTACTGTAGGAAATGAAAATAATTGACATAATCGGTTTGTTTTTTTTTCTATTTAAAATTTGATTTTATGATGTTTTTTTGAATTCTATCAAAAATTTGTAATCTTTGTATTAGGGAAATTGTAAATAGCTTTAGCGAGAGGTAATGAAATGTTTTCTGTACGTAGGGTTTATAATTAAGAGGCTAGCATAAATGATTAGTTAGTAATCATATTATTGTTTGATTCAGTATAATTGATATATGGAGATTAGGTTAATTTTAAGTCTTTATTTTCAACTAAGTTTTAATTATTCAATACTTATAAATCCTACAAAATTTCTATGGAAAGAGTAATTGTGTCATTTTCTAAATCAGTTTCGATGCTGTAGTAGTTGTTCAAACAAATTTTCTGCATTAAATTTTTGATATAATTATTGTAAGCCTCAAAAAATAAAGAGTAATTAAGAGAATTATAAAAATTTAATTATTGTTTGTACTAGATTACGTTTTTACCTATATTGCCAATTATTATCTCTAGTTTTATTGCTGTAGAGAATTTATTTTGACTAGGCTTTGTAATAACTTGCATTATCTCTTTTGGATTTTTTATTGAGCTAAAAATAGCTAGAATTACACTGAACAAAATTTGTCTGTACGATTTTATTTAATCATTAACAAGTTAATTTATATATTTTATTTGAGGAAAGTCTTCATATAGCTTCATAACCTAATTTATAATAGTTGACAAAGAAAATTCCTCAGTATAAATTTAACTAAGCTCTTATCTCTTGAGGAAATTTAGAGCTTAATTTATAGAAATTAATTATCTTTGCATTTGTTTGACAGATATTTGCGCAGCTACCATAATTTCTTGTAATTTATCACTTAAAAAGGAAATAGTTGATTGTTGAAGAAGAAATTCATTATCCTTATTCACCTTTAAATTAGTGAATTTTGAGTAGATGGTGATATCTTCAAGAAAGACAAACAAAAGTGGCTCATTTATATAAATTGGTACAATTTTCACATTAAACTTATATTTTTTCTTTGATTCCTGATCTGTCCAACTAACCTTTAAATCTCCATTCAAAAGATGTAGTGATTCATCTTCTTATTAATTTAATTTCTTTTCCTTTTTTTATTTTTTTTTCTCTTCTTCCTTTTTTTTGACCATATCTTCATATACATGAGCATGCTAAATCAACAAGATATCCTTTAAAGTTTCAAGTTTTTTGATATTAGATTTACCTATCAGCATAGAAGATGAAAGTTTTAAATCTGAAACACTGATTGACTATAAAAAATCATTATAAATTTCTTAGCTTTTGTGTATGTTAAACTTTTTGGCTTTTTCGTTGCAATCTGATTTGAATTAAAAAAATAGATTTCAGATTAGATAAAAAAAGAGTAATTAAAAAAGATTGACAGTGTAAATGTTGTTTAATTAAAAAAAAGACGACTAGATAAATAGATAGATAAAATACCTACCTATTAATTTCATTTCGTAAGTCCGTTTATCAAATTGTTGAATAAACAAAATATTAGACAGTGCAAGATTATTTATTTTCTCTAATTCTTCAAAGTTCTTTAGACTTAAGAAAAGTCTCCTTTAGTTTACATTTTGATAATGTTTGCAAATAATTAGAATAAGGAACGACATAATGTAAACTTCAAGATAGGCTGTGGGCATCTGCATATAGTAAACAAGAATTGAAAAATTGGTAAGCATACTAATTATTTCCAAAGCAAAATTTTAGCTCTCTAAAACATAATATATTACTTGCATCTAATTCATTTCATAATTAATTTATTTATTTTAATTTTTAATCTATATTTCTTTATAAATTTTTACCATTCCATTCTGAAAATTTATTTAAAAAGTGCTGATATCCTTAGAACTATTAGAATTGTACTCCAGTAAGTAGGTCTAAACATTGTAAGTAGAATAAACCTATCCTATCAAAAGCAAGTACTTCTAAAAGCGTGAAGGGGTAAATCTAAATATAAGCATGAATCCTGAGCAAACTAATAATGTTTATAGCTCATTTTATTGATCAACACCCATTATTAATCTCATTGCAGCCCATATTACCTCAGCCAAAAGAACTAAGTATAGTGGAATCTATCTCTATCAAAATATTAAAAAAATGTTTCTACGTGTTCTTATGGCTAAAAAATATTTTTTATTCAATAAAAAAATAAATAAATAAATACCTTTCTCTCTAAGCTGTTAAGAAACTATGTCTCAAGCTTATCATTTTTAAATTTAGCCAAAAACTTATTGATATGATCTTATTGAAATAATTGCATTACACTGCTTATTGTCTTACAAAGAGTTAAAGATATTACTTTCTTTTTTAATTAGCAATTTAAGTGTATTTCAGAAATTTATGATTTTTTAATTAAGAAATTGCATACATATTATCCAAAATGTTAAATATATAAATCGATTTTTCAATCCAGTCAATTACAACTTATTTGCTTGGTAGTTTAGTTAACTAAATTAAACCATTTTTTTAAAGGCTATTCTAAAATCTTAAAGTATGAATACATATTATATTCCATAAATTAATTATAAATTAGCTGATTGTAAAAAGTTTTATCTAAATAATTCAATTAATTCCTTAGAAGAATCATTAATTCATTATTAAAAATGTAATAAAATTATTATACTCTTAGGTTTTTAGTTCAATTTTTAAAAATTTATATAATGTAAGTAAGTACTCTTTAAAAAGGATCATTTTTTTATAAAGAGAAAAAAATATTGAAATTAAAATTTTGAAAGATTGCTTCCCAAGAAAACTTATCCATTCAGTGTTAATTAAAAATTAGAGTAAATAAATTAATTATACAAGATTATTTTATGATATTACAAGTATTACTAATTAATAACTACCTTGTATTAGTTTTAAGTTTCTTTTTTTCATTTAATTAATAAAATAATTGTATTTCATATTTAAGTAGATTTTTGATATTTTGTATTTTAAATTGAAATAAACAATATTTTAAGATTAAAAAAAACAAATTTTGCTATATTCTTAAATAAATAAATTAATAAAAACAAAAACAGAACAAGAATATTTAAAATTTTATCAATTTTAATTGATTTTAAAGAATAAAAATAAATAAATAAATTAATAACAATTTTCACAAATATTTTTTTTAGAATCAAATACAAAATAATAATTAAAATAAAATATCATATTTCAAAATTATAATTTTATTGTTTTAATTTGGTTAATTCATCATAGATTTTTTAATATATTAATAAATTTAACTCAAATAATTATGTGCACCTAACCATATGCTTTTATGCAATTATTTAGTATCTTTATTATTTATCAATTTTGAATATCAAATAAATTGTTTTATTTTGTAGATAAACTTTTTTTTTCTATCGGGGATTGTGGTAAATCCCATAAATTTTCTGATATATTTTCATTTATTTAAATATCAGTCTTATTTAAAATTAATTGCTAGTTTTTTTAAGATTTAAAGTTTTATAAGTCGTTAACTAAGAATTGATCCTCAAGACTATCTTCTTTTAATACTTCGTTAATATGAGAATTTATTTTTTAAGAATTTTATGAAAGACCTTTTTTTAATTAAGAGTTTACTTATTAAATTTCATTTTACACTTCTTAAGTTTGAATAGAAATAGGAAGCTAAGGAGGAGGAGGATGATGGATATTTAGTCTAGGATTTTTTTCCAAACACTCTGGACAAAACCAGTCTCCCTCAGGAACAGAACTAAGCTTATTTTATAAGCAATATGTGTGAAAAGCTTTGTCGCAGTTATCACATAAAAGAATCAATTCTTCATTTTCATCCACTTGGCATTCCTCGCAATGTACTTTTTCTAGCTCATCTTATATTTTTTAATCTAATATGTGGCCATGATTAGGACAGTAAAGCTCAAATTTTATATGGTCTAGTCTTACATCAATATCGTCGCTTAAAGCACATTTAAAATGGAAAGTTTATTTGCAATCATTTACTTTACATCCTAACCCACCACCAAAGCTTCCACAGTATTTGCATAAACATTTGTTAGATCTGATAATTTCCTTTTTTATATTTATCATTTTATTTGTTTTCTCATCAAGATAAACTGCTGGACTCCATATAGCGCACATTAAATGCACATAATATGTGTTTTTCTTGTGCTTATAAGGACCATAAAACCACCCCAATTTTTTTATATATTCTAAATTATTAACACTTTCTTTGCAAAAAGCGCAAAATACTTCATCTTCATCATCATCTTCTTCAATTTTAGAGGTTTAAACAGCTGAATAAGACCTGTTTACTTTTTCTATTGAAATTTATTTTACATTCTTTTTTGGTTTAACATATCTTGGATCACTTGGCTCATTTAAGCCAAATTCTTCATCTGTTGAATAAAAGTTATGTAGAGATGAATATAAAAAATCATATTAAAAATTTCCCAATATAATAAATAAAACAATTTCTATTTAGATCAAATAAAATAATAAATACATTACTCATTTTTTCTCCTTCTTCGTTAAAAACAATCTTCTATTTAATTTAATAAGTATTCTGTGTAAATGTAAGAGTGACGTTAATACTTTCATTGTTTAAAAGTATACTTCTGATAATAAACTAAAGGTCATAGTCATTATTTATAGTTATTGGTATCCCCATATGCTCTATTTTCATTATGGAATTTGGCTGGTTTATTACAGGAATATGAACATTTCTTAAAATCTTTCTGATAAATTTATCATAAGTAAGATAAGCAACATCAATCATGAGCTGCTTTTCAATTTTATCTTTAAATAAGCATTACACATTCACAATAAGAAATTTTTAGAAGTCTTGATCAGGGATTTCCATTTTATTTACTTTTGAGAGCTATTTGATATTAAAATAATTTATCTATTTATTTTTTTAAAAATATTATCAGGCTAGAAAGTAAATGAAATTAATTAGAAAAATTGTTATTTTGGTAGATCTACCTTTTTAATAATTACGCGCAATTAGATAGAAATAATGAAAGATATATCTAAAAAATATTATTTAGAGTTAATTAATTATTTACTTTTTTTGTTTTTTTGTTTGTTTGTTGGCTTTCAAATTAATTTAATTAAGCGCAGATAGAATAACATCTAATGAAAATCATCAAAAATTATAAGAATTAAATAAAGCATTAGGTAGGTCAGTCTTTATTTTTGCATGTGAAGTTAAAAAATGATTCAGTTTATATTTTAGAAAATTGTTTTCAGTTATATATAACTTGGGTAACTAGCTCAAATGGTAGAGCGTCTGGTTCGCATTCAGAAGGCACGGGGATCGATGCCCCGGTTATCCAAATTTTTTTTATAAGTCCCACATAATCAATGCAAATAAACACATTTAACGAAAAGCTAAATTCCCCTTCAAATTTTAGTGAAATGCACTTTTTGCTTTAAATATGTGTATTTCTTTATGTCTTAAATACTAACGAGGGTAACTAGCTCAAATGGTAGAGCGCCTGATTTGCATTCAGGAGGCACGGGGATCGATGCCCCGGTTATCCAATTTTTTTTTGTTTTAATTAAAAATTAATCAAAAAATACCTTTTTAAATATTTTTGATTAAGACATCCTCTTTAGCTATTTTGTGATAATTAATTAATTATTCAAATATAATTTAATTTATTGCAATTAAAAGAATTAATTAATTAATTATTTTTATATTTAGAATAAATTTTAAAAGAAGAATTTAAAAAATGTTGTGAATATTTAAAATAGATATTTATTTATAAAAATAAAAATATATGAAATAGAAAAAACATATAGAAGAATGAATGAATCCATTAATAAATAAATAAGAAAGTAATCAAATTATTTATTTTTTACTTCATAATTGGAATTAAATAGTAAGCAGCTAAGAGGTATGCCAAAATCAATCAAAGTTATATTTCACATAAAACTATTAATTAATTAATCAATTATTTAGTAAAGTAGTAATATTAGCTCATTATTATTTAGTTTTTTAGGTATCAAAACTCTAGCAACAATTTATTTATCAGGAACAAGCAAATTTTGTATTGATTGAATTTTAAAGTATAGATTTTACTAGCTTAATAAACGCTAAGGGGTTTATCAAATGAATTAGAAATGCATTTGCTGTGGAATTTTAAGTGATGAGCTAAATTGCTATAACTGCTACAAAAAAATTAGAGATATTTTCGTACCATCTTAGGTGTCTTAGGTGATGGGTGTTCAGAAAAAATTTATTGACGAACATTCAGAACTATTGAAGAATTTAGCTAAAGACAAATTTTAAGATTTAGTTAACTTAAATGCTATTGAGCGAATAAGTATTTACCAAAAAAAATTATGTGAGATTAAAGATGATATTTAGGACTACGAAGAGTTCAAGCAAATGATATAAATATAAACCAAAGAAATTGAGATCACAAATTAATATAAAAAAAAGAGAATAGAGCTGCTAAAAGTTTATTTAGAGAACCAAAAGAAAGAGCAGTAGAAGGCGAAAGAAGAATTAGAAAAGAGGTAAAGCATTTTGATGAATGTCAAGAAAAGAAAAGTAGAAATGGCATATAATTTGAGAGTCATTAATTACTAATTTCCTAATTGGTCTGTGAATAGTGAGCTTGAAAAAATAGAAATCCCATTTTAAAATAAAAAGAGCAATAAAATTGAAAAATCATATTAAAATTATATTCTGTTCAAGAAGAAATGGAATTTTTTAACATAAGTTTAACAGCAGCAATTTATCTTTTCGATGAATTAGATTGCATTATTTATTTATAGTTTACAAACAATTTTCAAAATATCTTCATAGTTCCCTCTATAAAAAAAACCAAGAGAATAAATTTCTATTACAACTGAGAACATTAGATTATATGATGAAAATTTCCGTATATTCTATGATGAAAATATTATATACATCTACCTTAACTATAAGCTTATCCTATAAAGATTTAGCATAAACAGAACGAGGAATCCTTATTTCTTTTTTGACTTTTCTTACTTCAAAGAACGCTTTTTTGCAAGATAAAATGTAATAGAAGACTAAAAAGATAAATATAACATGCAAAGTAATAATAATGTCAGCTATCATCAATTAAATCTTGCTTCTTAATATTCTTAAGAAGCTATAGATATTTCTTTTTAATCACACACTGAATTATACAAGTAAACGTAGGACAAAAAAATTATTGATATAAATTTAATAAACAACACACATGATAACTTTGAACAAACTATTTACAAAAAAGTCACATGCAAAACTCCTCAGAAATCTTTGATAAGTAATAACTTAACACATTCAGATTAGCATTTAACTATTCCTTAAGAAAATCAACGAATAAGAAGTTTATCTCATTTAGAAGAAACTTTTAAATAAATAAACGAAAATTAAAATCATCCTCACAACTAAGTTCAGCATGACATCAATTTTAATCAAGACCAAGGAAAGACTTTTAGACTATTATTCATCAAATCGCCTTTGATAAAAATTGAGTATGAAGACAACTTAAAATAAAAAGAGTTTGGATTTAAAGATCCCTATATCTATGCTGCCAAAAAAGTAGTTTAAGGTGGATGGGAATTGTATGACAACGAAGAATACTGAGGAGTTAAAAAATAAAACATATTTATTAACAAAAAAATTATTATATTTCAAATAAATATTAATCATTTTAGATTATTAAAAAGCATATGATTTGTATATATTCATCAAAATTATATTTTCTAATCAAAATATTTCAATAAAGTTAATCAAATAATGAATTCATTTATTTATTTAATAAATTATGGTATATCAACTTAAATCAAATGTAAGAACTTTTTGGATCATAAACATAGTTCTGTTTTTTTTTTTTGGTTAAAAACAATTTATTAAAATCTTATTTATTTATTTAATTTCTTTTCGTTCATTCTAAGTTTATTTATTTATTGATAATTAAATATCTTTATTTTTTGTTTATTATTTGCATTTTAAAAAAATTCAACATAAAAGGAAGGTTTGTTTTATTTTAAAAAATGCACGATGATATAACAGAAGTATTTGAAAGTTTGAAAGAAGTAAATACATTGATAGTAGCTAGTAAATATAGATATTTTTTTAATTGAATATCAAAAGCTTATTAATGATGATAAATCTTATAGAGAATAATTGACTCTTAAGTTTTTGTATTTAATTTAATGAGAATTACTTTTAATATTTTGAATAAGAAAAAAGTAAATTGATTCTGATTAAATAGAAGATTTAATTCTAGGAATTTCCAAATACAAAAATCTTAAATCTCTGACATTAAATATTGAGTGAGCATTTCTTTTTTTTGAAAAAAGATTAAAAATTTTATTATTTTTTTAAGAAAACATAGATTTGGCTCTGAAAAAGTTTACAAAATACTACAAGAAATACCATCGTTATGCCCCAATTTAAATTATTTAAATTTGAATTTAGAGTAATTTATTTTTTTGAATTAGTTATTAATTAAATTTGATATATAAAAGCGATAATTTGTTAAAAGACATTGGCAGCTCTAAGTTAGGATAAGCTTTAGGATAACTATTTTTTAATTTGACATCTTTAACTTTGTTTTTTAAGTATTTTTAACAGTAAAATCTAAATTACTAAATCATAAACCAAATAATAGAAAAAATTCTATCTAAGAAATTGGTTCTTCTGGAATTGGTATTGGGATTGGCTAGTGCCTGAACTTAGAATATTTATCATTGGATTTTGAGTAACAATTATTAATTAAAATATTTTTTACTTTCTTATTTCTAAATACAAAAATTGTTTTTTTAGTTTAAGTTTTGTGATAATTTTATTTTTACTGAATTTAAAAAATTAAAAATTTATTTATTATTTTTTATAAAATTCTTAAATCCAAAAGTAAAATGTTAATTTTAATGCTTATTTTTCTTCTTAGATTAAATATTATAGGAGATAGTGGGGTAAAAGGTCTTGCACTTGGATTATCTGAATGCATCAATCTAAACTAGCTTATTTTGTGTTTAGAGTACTAATTTTATTTAAATAAAAATTAATCATTCATATTTTTAAAATATTTATTTAAAGTGGTAACAAAATAGGAGACTCTGGAGCAAAATCTCTTGGAGAAGGAATTTCTACTTTGAAAAACTTAAAGTTTTTAAATATTTTCATGATGTAATAAGTTTTTTTGAAAATTCTAAATAAATTCAAAAAAAATTGAATAAATTATTTTTACCAAAAATAAATAAAGATAAAGCTTATTAAATATTTAGGTAAAATAAAGTAAGATGTAAAGGCTTAATAGGATTGAGTCAAGGGATATCTAAATGCACCAATTTAAATTCTTTATTTCTTCATTTAATGTAATAATTTTGTATTAGTTTGGTTTTAATTTATAAGCAAATAAAAAAATGTTAGGATGAATGAGATCAAATATGAAGGGTTAGGTATTTTCACCAGAAGCATTATTAAATGTTCAAAACTTAGCTTTTTGTTTATTTCACTTTAGTAAATATTTTAATTTATAGTATTTACTTTAAATTTTATCTTATAATTTCATTATAAAAGTATGAATAAAATTGAAGCTTACAATTTAAATGAATTGAGAAAAGTTAAAAAATTAAAAAGACTTGTCAGAAGTTTTATATTATTCTGATGATTAAATTTGTTTAACAAATATTCATAATTGAATTCGTTTTATATCAATTTAATACATTTATGTTTATTTATTTGCTTTTTTTCTTTCTAATTTTGATATTGGCTTTTAAAATAAAAATAATTTTTTAATTTGCAATTTTAATTAATTAAATCAAATTATTTTTGACAAGGTGTTTTTAAAAATTCAAATTGATTTTTATTGGGTTATAAAAAGAAGGAAATGAAAATAGAATGAAAGAAGATTTATTAATATATTTTTTTATGTATGTAATAATGAATGTGTGTATGTATATTTATATGATTGTATGATTGGTTGTCTTCAAAAATAAACAGTGAAGAAATAGAGAGAAGACTTAGAAAGGTAGTAATAAAACAAAGGAAAATGAATAGATCCTTATGTGATTTAATTTATTAAATAAGAATAAAAGAAATCTTTTGAAATAAATTTTCTTAAAATAAAAATTGTTAGATAAATAAACAATAAACTTGTAATAATTATCAAATTATCCTTATTGTGAAAGCAAAGGGTTAGTCAGAGAAAGAAAAAAATATATTAAGCCAGCCAGTAAATAAAAACAATAAATAAAGAGAGTGGTTTGAATAAGAGCAAGCATGTCTTCAACTAGTTCATCAAAAAGTTCTTCTTCGAAGGGACCAGCTAATGTTAAAAAGAATGAAATTTAGGAATTGCAAGATGATCTCATTAATAACAACGAGAATATAAAGAAGGAAGCCGTCAGAAAAGTAAAAAAAAATTAATAAAAAAGGGAAAAATGAGGTTTTACATTTCCATAGAGGAGTTTAAAAGTTAGTTGAAAAATTTATTTTAGTATCAAGATCAACCTTCAAATTAAAAGGCTACTCTATGTTGAAATGTGGCAGCAACCAAATAAATTAATTAGCATTAAATAATTCAATTTTGAATATTTTTTAATTATCCTAGATTATTGATGCAATGACCAGAGGTAAAGATGTTTCTATGCTCTTCCCTCACGTTTTAAGAAATATGATGACCAAGAATATGGAGTTAAAAAAATTGATATATTTATACATCATTAATTATGCTAAAACAAAGCCTGATTTAGTTATTCTCGCCATCAATTCATTCAAGAGTGTAATTTTACATTAATTGTACAGCTAAAAAAAAGAAATTTTGAATTGCTTTTAGTTTTAATTACTTTGCAGACAATTAAATATATTTTTTTAGAAGGAATTTTCAACAATGTTAATATAAATAGGATGCTTCAGATCCATCAAACCCCATGTTAAGAAGTTTAGCAGTAAGAACTATGGGTTGTATTCGTGTTAAAGAAATTATAGAATACTTGTTGGATGCATTAAAAAAAGCAGTAAAAGATGAAAACCCTTACGTCCGTAAGACCGCTGCAGTTTGTATAGCAAAAATCTATGAAACTTATCCAGAATTAGTAGTTGAATAAGGTTTCTTATAGCAATTAGAATACCTTCTTAATGATAGCAATGCAATGGTTATTGCCAATGCAGTCTGTGCCTAAATGTAAATTTAAGATATAAAGGGAGGAAATGTTTTGGAGCTAAATAAATTCAAAGTTTAAAAATTAAGAACTGCAATGAACGAATGCAACGAATGGGGTGTCATTTATATTCTTGACGCTCTTGCCGTTTACCGTCCTGATGACACCAAAGAGGCAGAAGAGTATTTACATATTTTAAATCCATTCATTTGTTTTCAAATAAATAAATTAATTGAGTGAATTTTGAATCACGCATAAAATTTTATTTATTTCAGAACACTCTACATTTAATTTAAAATTTTTGGAGCAAATCCGACAGCTGGTCATTTCAACATAGCATTCAGAAAGCAAAATAAAATAAGTGCATATAAATTTAATTAAATAAAATATCTATAATTTAATCTATTTCACTATTTTAAAAGAGACTAAGATGAAAATTATTCTTTAAAACTTAACTATTTATTAATAGACAGTCGAAAAACTTTGATTAAATTTATTTTAAACATTCCTGCATTCAATCAATAATTTGGAATCTCCAATCTATTTTTAAACTAGGTTTCTGAAATAAATCTACCTTTTAACAAACAAATAAACAATCAACAATCTAAATTTATGAATAAAGATAATAAAAATAGATAAATAAGTAAATCAAACAATATAGTTTAAATAAAAAGAATTAAATTAGTAATAATACAAAAGCATTATTAAAATAATTAAATTTTTGATGTAAAAGTTAGACCTATCAATCGCTTTTATGAATTTTAAATATTAAAGCATATTTAACTTATCAATAAATGAATTCAATTTTATTTTTTATAATTTTACAACCTTAACAATTAAAAATTAATATTAAAATAAAACAGTATTTTAGAAAGAGTTATTCCAAGATTGTCTCACTAAAATCCAGGAGTTATTTTGAGTGCTACTAGAGTTATCATGAAATATTTAGACTACTTAACTGACCCTGAAATGGTTATTAACTATTGCAAGAAACTAACCAGTCCTTTAATTAGTTTATTGAATATGGAACCTGAAATCGTATTTATTGCTTTAAAAAATATCAATTTAATTCTATAGAAGAGACCTATCATTATTGAGAAGGAAATTAAATTCTTCTTCTGTAACTTTAACGATCCCATCTACATCAAAGTTATGAAAATTGAAATTCTTATTCGTCTAGCTAACATTGATAATATTCCTTAAATTCTTCACTAATTAAAAGAATATTCAGCAGAAGTAGATATTGAAATAGCCAAAAAGGTAAATTAAATAAATAAAAAAATAGATTTTTTTCTTCATAAAATAAGAAATAAGCAAATTTATTCAAATATAAATTAATGAATTATATTTTATTTATTTTACTTCAATTCACTTTCAGTCTGTCTTTAAATTATTTCTTTGAATTAACCAATAATTTTTTATAATAAATAAATTAGTCTATCAGAGCTATTGGTAGATGTGCTATCAAGTTAGAAAAAGCAGCCCAAAAATGTGTTTAGGTTTTAAGAGACTGCTTAAGATCAAAGGATGACTACGTTACTTAGGAAACTATTATAGTTATTAGAGATATTTTTAGAAAATATCCTAAAGATTATGAAGGTTTGTTAAAAGAAATATGCGAAAATTTAAAGACTTTAGATAATCCTGAAGCTAAGGCTGCCATGATTTGGATTATTGGTGAATATGTTGACACCATTGAAAACTCTGGCTCACTTCTTGAAGAATTCGTTAAGAGGTAAATAAATAAATAAAATATACCTTCATTTTTATCAAGAAAGTTTAGATTATTAAGTAATAAAATCAATTATTTTTTTAATATTTAGCTTTATTGAAGAACCAGCTATCGTTTAGCATTAAATTTTAACTAGTTGTGTTAAATTGTTCTTGATGAGACCTTAAGATGGTTACGATTTAGTCCACAAATTATTACAATAAGCCACTAACAATTGTGAAAATCCTGATATCAGAGATAGAGGTTATATTTATTGGAGATTGCTTGGTTAAAGCCCTGAATTAGCTAAAAAAATTGTTTACAGTGAACGTCCTGAAATTTCAGACAATACTTATGTATTGGAAACAGCTCTACTTGATAAGCTTATTGAAAATATTGGAACTCTCTCCTCTGTTTACTACAAACCTCCTGAGCAGTTCGTTAAGCACTTAAGAGATATTATTAACCAAAAAGAAATGGAAGAAAATGTAATTTGATTTTTAATAAAATACTCAATTATAAATTGAAATGGCTAATAAATATTTAAATAAACAGATTGTTGAACAAATAAATCAATTTTTATTGTTGTATTAAATAAATATATTTTATGTAAAATTGTTAATAGGAAGCAGAAGAAGCTGGTGATGAATTCTTCATTAAGGGTGAAAATAATGTAGCTGATAAAGATTACTATGGTGGGGAAGTTACGATTAATGATGATCAAGCTTAATAATAGCAATCAAATATTTAATATAATATGAATAGCAATATTTAAAATACTTAAATGTAATTAAACCAAAGCAATATAAGCTCTACTCCCTCAACTGCTGCTACAGTTAACTAGAGTTAGGCTAAAAATTTATTAGATGATGACGATGATATAATGGCTCCACCAATATAATAGTAATAATATAATTAGCCTCCTCCTTAAGTTTATTAATAGCCACCTCAATAACAATAACTCTAACCTGCCCCTTCTTAGGCTAAGAATCTTCTTGATGACGATGATGATATCATAGGTGGAGCTAGCACAGCACCTTAACCTCAATAGATAAATTAAATGCAATATAATTAATCTCCCTAAGCTGTCAATAGTAATTAATAAGCTAGTTTCAGCAGCAACGGTTCAAATTCAAATAATAATACAGACTTCTTTGGGGGTGGCTCTTAATTAAGAGCTCCTAACATTAAAATACCTTTTAGCGTAATATTTTTTCTTTTCATAGATTGAATTTCATAACAATCAAATAAATAATTAGGAATGTGTAAATGAAAATAAGTTCTCGATGAAAAATATAGTGAATGGATTAAATATTGCTTGTGCCTTCTAAAGAGAGGGTGCCTAGATGTTTTTAGAAATTTAAGTTTCAAATCGTTTTGGAAATAACACTTTCTCAGATTTCGCTATTAAACTTGCTCCAAACAAATTTAAAATAAACCCAACAACTATTGATCTTAACAAATTAGGATAGGTAATAATTTACATTTAATTTTTTATTTTCAACGATTTTTTTTAAAGAATTATTTTATAAAAACTAATTTTTCTCTAATTTCTTTTAATTAAATAGCAATTTTTAAAAAAAATCTAGAATTCAGAAAATATTTTTCCAGTTTTATTTGGAATTTAAAATATGAACTGGTTTTTTATTTAAATTATTGTTAAGATTAAACATTTTTATCATAAAAACAATACTTTATTTTTCTAAATTGAATATTTAAAATTTATTTTCTGTAAACAAACAAACAAAGGTTGCCCCTGGTCAAACTAGCTCATGTAAAATTGAAATTGATTGTAATGGCTAAATTGATAATGGACCTTTGAGCAGCCCTTTCTTAGTAAATACTATGATAAAAACAAACTTTGATGTTTACTAAATGGCAATTCCTTGCAGTCTTTCAGTTTTAATCGTACCTGGAGCTCCTCTTTAAATCTAATAATATGGAGAATTCTCCTCTAGAATGGTCAAAAAAGCTGATAAGATTCCCATGATTATTGATAGAGATGCAGTAATATTTTTTACATAAAACTCAAATTTATTAAATATATTATTGAAAAAAAAATTAAATAGCTTGTAAAGAAAATGGCCAACAATAATATCTATTTTGTAAATTCTCAAACTAATCCTTAGGGAATTGGTAATTTTATTAATAGACTGTTACAGATAATCAATTTATTTATTTATTTAAAAAACTAAGAAATGATAAACTTCTCATGTAAGTTAGCTAACGAAATGCCACTTTTATTAGATGTAATTATAGATAAGATAAATGGAGCACTTAATATTTAATATCACGCTCCTCACGACACTATTTTACCTCTTTTCTATTAAGCTATTATGTTCGTCTTAAAGTTCTGAAAGTCTCAGATTATTTTAGAAAAAGAATTAAAAATGGATAAATGATGAAATTATCATCGTTCATTCATTCAATCAATCAATTTGTTTATCTAACTACCTACCTACCTATCAATCAATCCTTTTTGTTTATAAAAGTTGTAATAATACTAGCTTATTTTAACTTTGTTTGTCTCCGATTGCATTTTTGTATTTTGGATATTCAACTTATATTAAATGCTTTTTCAAATTGATATAATTGTGTAATCTATTTTTTCAATAATTTTTTAAGAAAATAATTCATTAGAAAACACTTTCAATTTATTTTTACTTTTCTTACAGAAAAATCTAATTTTATTTCTATATGAAAAAATTAAATTTTATTCAAATTAATTAGAACTTTTCTTTTTTTAGCAATAGCTGCTTACTTGAAAAAACAAAATTAAGCATCTAATTTTATTTTAGATGTTTTTAAGTCTATTTATTGCTAATTTATTAAAATCAATTAAACATTTAGTAAAAAAATTCTTGAAAAACTTCTCATGTAAAATGAATTCCTTGATTAAATTAATCACTTTGGATTATGTTTTAAAGGATAAAAAAAATTAAATACCCATTTTCGACTCTATTTAAAAATTTTAGCTATGCTTTTTTAAAGAGAAAATAATTTTAAAAATTTTGCATTTATTTCAAGCATTAGAAAATAAAAATGCAAGCAAAAAGGAAAATTTATAAATATTAAATAGTATTTTTCAGAAATGTTCTTGTTTAGTTAATAAATAAATCAACTAATTTATTTTTATTTTTTTAATTTTAGTAAAAATTGTAAATAAGAATACATCATAAAAAAGAAGAAGTATCTAAAAAATTTGTAATTTTTTTTATTGCTTTGATTTATTTAAATTCAGGTGTAATTTGTAAATATAAAAAGTAGAATCAATCAAAGTTATCTGCACATGTATTTAAAATTAAATGAGTTACTGCGCAACTTTTTTTACTCACAAATTATTAATAATATTTTCTTTGATGTTATCAAATTTTGTTTGTATAAGAACCATACATTCATTTCTGAATTTATAAGCCTACAAATAAATAATAATAAATCAAATAATCCAATTAAAAATAGAACAAAATATATTTAATAGAACCTATCAAAATCAAAAAAATGAATATACACGACTACCATCACAATCCTACTCTCCGTTATGATTATTGTAAAAAAATTATGAAAATTTCTTAGATTGATAATCCTACAGACTTAAAGTAAATACCTGGATTAGAAGAAGAAGGCTTCAAGGAAGTAGGGGCTGTGAATTTTATTGTTACTGATAATTAGTATAAAATATGTGTGCACAGAGAACCTGCTCAAGGCGATGTCAAAGCTGTCTTAATTTTAATGCATGGATATAATGGACACATGAAAAGAGCTTAGCATATAGCTAAACAGCTAGCCTAAGAAGGGATTGAAGTTATCGGTTATGACTAGAGAGGATTTGGAAAAAGTGAAGGACCCAAAGGTTATATAGAGTCATTAGAGTAAATGATTGATGATTTTGAAGAGTTTTATAAGTAAATTATTGTTGAGCATTACCAATATAAACAAAGAGGACTACCTATATTTATGGGAGGTCTTAGTCTAGGCGGAATGCTTTCTTATAGAGTAGGCTTAAAATACCCAGATAGATTTAAAGGAATTGTAATGATGGCTCCTGCCATTTAACCATTTCCCCTTTAGTATAAATTTATTTATTATCTTGCAGTGACTCTAGGAAAAATAATGCCTAAAGGTAATTTTATTAGCACTGGTGCTTGGAACTCTAATAAATACAATGAAGCTGAAATAAATATTAAAAAAGACCCTCTTTAATATACCTAAAAGCCTCCCTTCTCATCTCTCTCTTCAGTCATTAAAGGCTTATATAATACAAACGAAACATTTGAATAGTTTACTTGCCCTTTCCTTTGCATTATGGGTGACCTTGAAAAAATAGTAGATCCTTTCCTAGGTTTTGATTTAGAACATAAATCCCCCTCTTAAGATAAAACTGTAAAGTATTATTAACAAGTATGGCATAATATATGGCAAGAACCTGAAATATATGATATTAATAAAGATGTTATCTAATGGATTTAGCAAAGAATTAATTGATTGATTTTCTATTTAATTCCTTACTTTACTTTGTAAAAATAAATAAAAAAATAGAATCTTTCTAATTAATCAGTTAGTTCTATAAATTCAAATTTATTTAATAATTATATTTCAATCTTAAATTTGTATTTTACTGTAACACCTAATTTAATTATTCATCATTTATTCTTTCATTTTTTTATAATAAAAACTAATATAATATTTGAATTTCTCCTTTCTTAATAAATATAAGTTTTCTCTTTTTTCTATATTATTTAATAAAATCATACTTGAAACATGCAATAACTTTTTTCCTTTTCGGTAATTGTAATTAAAAACAAATACTATTTAAATTTGTAAAATAAAATTCTAAACAATACCAATATATTTAAATTATAATTTTATAAAAAAGTTAAGTAATTCAAAACCATTTTTTTTACTTACTTTTAAAACGCCTACAAACAAAAGAATTAAAATTTCTACTCTAAAATAAAATTAAATGCTTTAATAACATTTTTTAATTATTTTTAACTACCATCTTACCTTAAAGTTACGTATTGCAAAAAATATTTTTTTAAAGTATTTCAGTACTTAATATCAAAGATAAAAATTACCCTATTTTTTTTACCTTTAATTAACTTAGAGGTAAGCTGGTATTTAAATAATTTTATATTTTTTATGAACAAATAACAAATTTCGAAATTAAAATTATTAATTAATTTTAATCAAGCATTTGTTAAAATGTAAAAACCATCTATCTCCTTTTTATAAAATGAATGAATATAAAACAAATACCTATTTTTCATTTCAAAAAAAAAAAAACAAATTAAAAATAAAATTATCATGTAAATTAGATAGAGCTAGTCAGATTTTTGTACAATTTTAATTTTGTTAACATATTTAATTAATTAAATGCAAACAAATTTTATTAAAAAATAATTGAAATTATAAAAATTTTAAATGTAAATTAAAAAAATAAAATAATCAAAGATTAAAACTAAATTAAATTGGATGAAATATTTTTAAATTTAATTTTGACAAAATAATTTACGTTCAAATGTATTTAAAATTTAGCAATCTTTTTTTTAAAGTTTAATTAGAAAATATAGATGAAAATGTTTAACTATTTTTAAATTCTTTTTAAAATTACTAGTAAAAAAAATACATCTTTTTAAACATTTTTATTTAATATGTTTATGTAAATGTAAATTTACAAACAAAAGACATAATAAATATGTTAAAGTCATCAAAGAATTTGTAAAAATATCATCTAGAATCAGAATTTTATTTAAGGATGATTTTTTTACTGTTTATTATTTGTCTAACTTATTTACAAAAATCCTTTTTATAATGTGTTCGAATGTATCTAATATTTAAAAAACCTAAATATTGTTTCTATCTATTTTAATTATTGTTTCTATAAAGTTTATTTGAGTAAGTTTTAAAATTATTTAAATAGAGAATATAGATAAATAAAATTAATTAATTTAGCAAATTTTTTAGCACTTTTATAGTATTTTGTTATTTATTTAAAAAATTAATTTGTTTTTTATTTTTTGATAATTTATCTAAATTAAGGATAAATCTTTAAAGACAGACTTAAGTAAAAAGGATATATTTTAAAAAATTAATGAGTTCATAAATAAACGCTAAATTTACATGTTTAGTAGATGTAATTCATTTATTTAGAAATAAAAGACCACTATTTAACTTTTTTTCTAAAAAAAAGTTTCTTTCATAAGAAAAATATGATTAATCTCAAATTTAATTGAAATTAAGGTAAAATATATTATAATTTGTTGAAAATTTTAATAAATAAAATGATTAGAATTCTAAAAAACGTATTTCTCAATTAAATAATTAAATTAACTTTTAAATTAAATTATACAGAATATTAACATTAAAATTCTAGTTGAAATATAGAATATCTGCACTTCCTTTTAATAAATAACAATTAAACCCTAATTTTAGTTAAGCTCTTTGTCTAAAAAATCACAATAGTTTACTATAAGGAATTTATTAAAACTTTAAAGCATTTAAAAGACATTAAATATTTAAAAGATTGAAATATGATAACAATAATAACATTAATAGAATATTATTAACATTTTATTTTATTTAATAAAAGTATTTCATACAAGATTTTAATTTTGATTTATAATTATTTTTTCTAATTAAATAATTTTAAAAACTAGTAATAGCTTATTTGATAAAAATAATTCAGAATAATTCATTTAAGAATTGAAAAAATATTCCTAATTGACAAAATTAGCTTTGAGATTGGTGTAATTTATAAATATATTTTTTAATTGCAAGTAAACTTAAATTGAATTACTATTAAAAAGCTTGAATCAACTAAGTAGTGATATAGGTTCTATTTTAGGTAATGGATTTAGTCAAATGTCTAATTTACAGAGCTTAGAATTAATTCTAGAGTAAAATTAGAATAAATTAAAATAATTTTAATTCTCTTTTATTAAAAGTTAATGTGAATATGACGATAATATAAATATAATTGGCTTACTTAATTTGCTCACAAGTTGCATCAAATTAAAGTATTTAAATATACAACTCAAGTAAGAATAGCAAACATTCCTTATTTATTTTATTTACTTATTTTTTCTTTTTTAAATAGTTTTAAATTAATTAAATTTAATATTTTGAAAAAGTGAAAATAAATTAAACAATTAGAGATTATAAAATATTACCTAAAACATATAAAAATGTAAGGATCTGACTGATCTCTCATTAAATTTAAGGTGAATTTATTTTTTATGTTAATTCATTTATTTTTTTAAAAATTTCATTTTCAAAAATGATTTGATTTAAATTATGAAACAAAAAAGTGAGTGCTGGATTGATGATGATGGTGTTTAAATTTTAAGCGGCATTATAACTGAATTCTAATATTTGATCAATATTAACTTAAACCTAAGGTACATATATACTAATTGTTAAAATCAATTATTCTATTCTTCATTTAATTTTTAATTAAAGGAGCTAAATATTTTAAATTAACTTTTTTAAAAAAATTAAAAACACTTAAAAAAACCAAAAATTATTTTAAATATTTTAAATTTTAAGATATTTCCATCCTTTAAATTTTTCATAAGAAACATTATATTAAAATAGAATTAATAAATAAGCATACATATTTATTAAAAAATTATTTTGAAAAACTATTAATTTTAAATAATAGCTTTCTTTAAAAGTTCAATTAAAGAAATCTAATTATTTTTTAAAAGCTGCAATTTTATAGGAGCTAAAGGTGTGATTGATCTTGGAAAGCAGTTATCGTAGGTAGTGAATCTCAAAAAGCTTTAACTTTCAATGAAGTAAAATAAATTCTGAAATATATATTTAGCTATTTAATTTAATAAATCTAAATTTAATATTTTACTTTGATGAGTCTTCATAATTTATAAATAAATTAATAAGCTACAATCATTTTAGAAATGCTGGAATCGCTAATTTAATAGAAGAAATATCTTAATGTAGAAGTTTATAATATTTAGATCTTCAGTTAGAGTAACCAAAAATATTTAATTTTAAACTATGAATAACTTATTTATTTATATAATTTTTATTTTGATATAAATTTTACTTAATTTATTAGAAAAAATAAACTCAGTAGCCAATATTTTTCAGAATTAAGCATCTAATTTTTAAAATTTGTAAATCTCTCAACTTTAAAGCTAAGTTTTATGTAAGCTGCTTAAAATGCTTTTACTATTAAATTATATTCATGAAAATATTTTTGTACAATTAGATAAAATTATATCTAAGATGAAGGATTAATTGAGTTCGGAAGAAATTTAAAAAGAATTAAATGTTTGAAGCGTTTCATTATCAATATTGAGTAACTTTATAAAATTTAATTACATTAAATGCAAAAAAAATAAATTTTTTTTCATCTTTCTTAGATTAAAAAATTCAAAAATATTTTTATAAATAAGGGAAAATAATCAAATTAGCTATGAAGCAATTTTTCTATTCTATTAGAGAATAATTAAAATCAGAATGTTGGTTGAACACTTCATAAATTTTTGAAAATTTTAATTAAATAATAAAACTTTTTTAAAGTTAAATTAATAATTAATTCAAAAAGCCAATTTTTAATTAAATACCAAGCTAGCTAGTATTTAAGTCAATTCATAATAAAAAAATAATTAGACTTTTAATAAAATATGTATGTAATAAGTAGAAATATAAATTTTATAATTAAAACAATAAATAGTTGATGTGAAATTATCAAACATTTTCTGAAAACAAATACAAAAATGATATACGTTATATTAAAATATAAGCAAAAAAATAAATTAAATGTTGAGAAACTATTTGCATGATTATTAAAAATGAAAACCATGAATCAAATATAAAAAAATTTAAGTTAAATGAATATAAACATTATAAGTAAATAGTATTTTTTATTTGGATAATAAAATAGATGAAAAAATATTTAACTAACTAACTAACTAACTACTTTATAATAATAATTTTAATCTTTTTTATTACTTTTTATAAATACCTAAAATAATTTATAACAATAAGAAATCTTTGAATATTGTAAAAATATTAATTATTTTTTTGGATATTTTGCTTATTAATTGATAGATATTTAAAAATAAATTGAAAATAAAATTTAAAAAGGAAAATAATAATTTGAATTCTTTTACAAGTAAAAAAATATTTTTTATTTTAAATAATTTTTCTATTATTTTTATTATTAGCTAGTTAAAAATTAGATTTTAAAGATGACTTTGATTTAATAGAATATATTTTTTGTAGGTATTTAATTAGAAATAATTACTTTTTATGTATTTACTTAAGAATATTAGTCAGCTTTTTGATAAAAAAATTAGAAAGTTTTTTTGAAAACTGCATTTAAAAAATTGATTATTTTATAAAAAATTGATTAAATGGAATATTTAAATTAAATAAACGGCTATTTGCCTTAGTTGATTACTTTTTTAACCTAGCATAAGTATGAAATTAAAGGATATGAATCTAAGAAGACAGATTAAAACATTCTTTCTGATTTATAAATTTAGCATGAGGAACATTTTTTGTTATTGAGGGGAACAAAAACTCATCTTGAATAAAATCAGTAAGTTTGCATTAAAATTTCGTACTCCGATGCTTCATCTTATGAAATAGTAAAATAGGAAGCAAGTATTCTTAAAGATTTATTGATTTTTAAGAGCGTTGTTTAGTTTGTCGATGAATTTGATTTTGAGGATCAAAGTTTATTTATACTAATTACTGAATCTTATGAAAAATTTGTTTAGTCTGAAATTGATGTAGCTTAGAAATATAATGATGAGCTTGCTCTTGTAAATGTTTATTATAGGATTTTGTTCTCTATCTTTGAACTTCATGAAAATAACTACTTTCATGGCAACATTAATCCTAATTCGATTGTTGTAGATGGAGAAGGAAATTATAAATTTATTAATTTAGTGACTAAGGAGTATTTGTTTCATAATTTTAATAGTGATAGTCAAAATATTAGCAGCAACTAGGAAATTCAATTAGAGCAAATTTAATAAAAGAAAGAATTTATTAATAGTAGTCTCTACATTTCACCTGAAATCAAAAAAATTATAACTAAAAGAAAGACTAATTAGATAGAAGAAATATTGCAATTTCTAAAACAATCAGATGTTTACAGCTTAGGCTTAGTTTTTTTAACACTTCTAGGAGTTTAAATCAATAAAACTACCATAAAATAGATCAAACATTAATGCTTTGATGATATCCTAAAAGTCCTACCTTAAAATAAAATAAAGTTAATCTCTTTTGTCAGAAATTTCATGCTAAATTATAAACCTAGTCTTAGAGCTACATCATTTTAATTAAGAAAGGGTTTATTCTAACAGTATGAAGAAGTCTACTTATTTAAAGAAAAAGAGTTATTAAAATTAAAGGAACTTGTAAAGTTTTATGAGCAAAACAAGAAACTAACGGAGCACTATAAAGCTTATCTAGTTTTCTAACTTATTTAATTCGATCTTGTCTATAATAATTATATGCACCTTCATTATACTAAAAATCTACTTATAAATTTAGATAGAAGCTCATATGAAAAAGATCATTTTTTGATTCATGAACTAGGCATCACATATTATTATTTTAAAGACTTTAAAAAATATGTTGCTTACTGTTTCAAAGCATTAGAAATTAGATAGAAGATATACCCTAAAAATCATTAGTTTATAGCAGAATCTCTTAAAGAACTAGGAAATGGGTACAAGCATATTGAAACTAATTGTGAAAAGTCATTCACCTATAAATCAGAAGCCCTTAACATATATAAAAGCTTGTATGAAAATTCTCATGAATTGATAGCTTAAACCTTTCAAAGTATTGGATCAGATTTTCTTTTGTATAAAAAATATTAACAAGCTCAATTATTTTTGACCTAAAGTCTAGAAATCAGAAAGCAACTCTATGTGGATAATCATCTCTTCATCTCTGAAAATATAAGCGAGCTCATAAAATGCTATAAGCTTTAATCAGAATATGATAAATGCATTTTCTGGAACCTAAAAAATTTTAAAATCAAATACTTCTTATTCAAATAAATAAGCTACGAAGATCTCACCTATGTCCAGTCGTTAATAATTAAAATTAAAGACCCTCAAAAAAGACTCAAATATAATCTCAAAATTCTTAAACAACTAAATAAAATGGAAAACTGCAACCTACAATACAAAGCAGAATTGCTGAATAGCATCTCCTCTATTTACTTTGAAATTAAAGACTATGAAAATTACAAATAATTCGGAAACCATTCAAAAAATCTGCTCAATTAAAAATGATAAAACAAATAAATAAAATATAAATAAATAAGTAAGTGAATAATTAAATAAATATAGATTTATAATTAATTATATAGAAAAATTTATATTAAATAATGTAAATTATTATCTCAAGTTTTTCAAAAAAATTATCAATATTTTTTATTGATGAAGATTAAATAAAATAATCAAATATTCTTAAATTTTAAATACAGTTTATTCTTTCTATATTTACCACTCAATGGGCCAATATTTTTTGTAAATAAATAAAGACTACCTAATTTTATAAATTAACAGCAATTTAAAAAAATAAATTTTACAAGTTACTATTTTGATGAAGTAGATTGTAGATTAAGTCTTGATTTTAATCCAACCAAAAACATTTATTTCACATTTGAAATAAAAAAATATCAAAGTAAATTTATTTTATAAGAGATAGAATAGCTTATTAAATAGATTTTTGTAAGTTACAGTGAATTATAAAATATGTATGTATATATGTATACACTTGATATAGAATATAAAATGCTAAAGTATCGCTAAAACATAATTATGATAATAATAAATATAGTTTTTCGTTAAAACCACTTAGATAACGTTGGAGAAGAGATCAAAAATACCCTAGAGATTTTCTGTTTGGTCTCGGTTAATTTAATTCTATGGGTTCTTCTTTTTTCTTGTGTTTTCTTGTCTTTAAATAAGCTTTCAAACTTATGAGTTGAGTTAATGACTACTGCTATTATTGTGGGTCTTAAATTAAGTCTACTTTAAGCTTATTCACATATGCTGATACGGGTGGGACTATTACTTAACACACTTTTCTTATCTTCTAGATTGAAATATTACCTATTTTTTTCCCCTTTTTTAATTAAAAAAAATTATTTTAATTTCTCTAAAATTTAGTTTTAGTTAATATAATACTTTGAAATTGCTAGCCAAATTTATCTAAGTATGCTAAAGTTAGTTTATTTAATAAAAAACTTGCTAGAGAAAAATATTTCCGTTGTTTTAATTTAATTGAAGTTTTTTATTGGTTATTGAAAAATATATTTCTTATATGGTATTTTTCAACAAAAATTTTTTGTTTCATTTAATCCCAATCATTTTTATTTTGAATAATTTTTAATTCATATTCTTTTTTTATTTATACAACTAATTTAAATCAGAGAAAATCCAGAGTATGCTTTGTTCATTTTTTGCAAAGTAATTTAAATAAATAGTAAATTTAATAAATACAATTTTTCAGCAATCAATATATCTAATAAATTTGAAATAAAAAGAAACAAAAGGTATGAAAAAGATAGTTATTAATCTGTAAAGGTTAAATATGATTTTGTATAAAAAGAGAAAAAAAATTTAATCAAATAACTGTAAAAAATAGATTAAAATTCTTAAATTCTAATTTTAATAAAACCAATACTGGTTCATAAAAATTTTTTGTATATTATCAATAAAATAAATAATTATTTTTTTATATATTTTTTCAATTTTAAAATGATTATTTATTAATAAGATTTTTAATTAGTGTCTAAAATATGGTGAGGGGGAGGGGGAGAGTTTAAAAAGTTTGAAAATATCGGCTCAAGCAGAGGAAAATATGAAATAAATTTTTTTATTTTTATTTTTAAAAATTTAATATATAGTATATGATTTCGTTTTATAATAAGTAAAATACTATTAAATTTAAGTAATAAATTATGTATAAGATAAAAAGTTAAAACCAACTTTCATAATTATCATATTTTATAGAGTTACAAAGATTCACTCTTTTATAAAAATCTTACAAATCAAAATTAAATTAATAACTATTTTTTACTTTTTATATTTAAATTTTTAAAAGTCTAATAACATTTTATGGATATTTAATCAATACAAATTTTGGTTATAATATTATTATTCCAATTATTAAAGTAATTAATATAATGTCCAATTTAATAGGCATCAAATTTATATGTTAAAATTGCAATGTAATAAAAAAATGCGTTTAAAATAAAATTTATCTCTCTAAATATGTTATCTAAATTAATCAATATGTTAAAAAATACATGTTTTTTTATTGAAAACACAAAACTTTTTTTATACATAATTACTACTGATTCGTTTTAGAAAATCAATAACAAAATTCATATTTAGATTTTAGATTTTAGAACTTTAGATTCGAATGAAAATTAATATTTTAGAAATAAAATATTTAGAATAAATTTAGATGAATTTTAAAACTATTTAATTAGATTATTTATTTGAAATATTTAATTAATTAATTATTTATTATAATTATTTTTATTTGTATTATAAAGTAGATTTATTTTTTTTAAAGTGAGCCCTTATAATTTTTGAATTTATTTAAGGTACTTTTATATATTTCTTTTAGCTGTTTGTTGTGTAAAGATCATAAGAACTCATAAGAGCCTTATTTTACAGGTTTTAGAATCCAAATTCGAATTAGAAGATCGATCATGAATATAATAAATTTATTCCTCTGAATACCTTTAATAAAACTCTGTAAAATGCTAAACTGAACAATTATACTGAAAATGCTAAAATGACTATTCAGGCTACTCATATACTTAATCTGTGAGTTATTTTGTTTTACTTTATCTCTTTTTAAGGATATATTACACTTATTTTTAATCCAGTATATATTTTTCTATGTTAAGATATCCTAAAATTGGTCTTTTTCCTGGTACGTCTCCATCTTCCTCTAAGCCGTAGCAAATATGAATTTAAGGCACTATTTTTGGTGATATTTTTAATCCATCAAAAGTTAAAATATCTATATTATCAGATATCATAATACTTGAAAAATCAAAGCCATTTTCAACAAAACTCTTTACAATGTTCAAAAATTCAAGAGATGATTCATTTCTTTTAGTATAACTTGTAACTTCAAAAAAACCTTGGCGCATAATAAAATTGATGTAATTTTCTACATCAAATCCTAAAAGCTTAATAAAATTTTCATTACATCCCTATTATATAGATCTTGCATCAGATAGATCATCGATACATTACATTAAATTGTAAGTATAAAATCCATAAATATCCTATTATTCTAATAAGCTTTTCAGTTCCTCATTCATAAACTTGTTAAAAATCTCATAATTCCTGCTCTAAACTTCAGGATTTTTTCTTTTTTGACTTAATTTATTAAAAAATGAAAGATTATTTTAAAAAACTTAGATTTCATTTGCCATTTCATGATACTATTAATCCTAAAGAGAGTTTAACTAATATATTAAAAAACTAAAATCTTATATTCCTCTTTATGCTTAATCTAAGTTTATTTGTATAAATTTATCCTATTTTAAATGGTTTAATGAAACTACAGGTCTTAGCTACTTGAAAAGCTATTTATACACTTAAAATCCTTCATCATTATCAAGTCCATTGTATTCTAGATACACATCATAGGGTAAAAATATTTCTTTTTATGAGATTATTTGTTTAGAAATGATATTAGCAGCTCTTTACTAAATTTGATTCATTTTTAATTTAGCTAGTTACAATTTATTCTTCTTCTTATACTACCCTTTGTTTTTTGATGGTTACTTCAAAATCACCAACCTAGTCTTTTTTTCTTCCATGTCCATATCTTCTCTTATGATAATAATAAACAAAATTAGTTATTTTTAATTAAAATATTCTTACTTCTAAAAAATTTGATATGATTATACAAGACAAGTAATCACAAATTTTTAATTTACTTTTTTTAATTTCTCATTTTACAAAATTAATTAAATAGATTGATTGATTGAATATCAAAATTCATAATGATTAATTAATTATAATATTAGTTATCTTATCATTAAATGGATAGTAATTAAAAACTTTTTAGTGCTAAGTTTTTTTTTAATTATAAAATTAATTAATTAGATTTTAGTTATTCATATTCAATAATAATCACAAAAAAAAATATCATTGATTTTCTTTTAAAAATAAGTTGATAATAAAGAAATGTAAAGTATTTACTTTCTTCAACAAACAAAGATTATATTTATGTCATTTTTTATATTCAAATTATAAGAAAAATAATTTTATCATAAAATCTAATTTTTATAAATATAAAATTGTTCTATTTTATTTTATTTTTTATTAGCTTCTCTTCAAAATTTTAATATTTATTTTATATTTTTTTATAATTATATAAAATTTATATATAATGGCAATATTTTATATTTTATTTGAGAAATAAATTTATTTATTTATTCAGCCAACCTATCTTAACTATTTTTTTGGTTTCAATGGCGTTAAAGCATATTTATAGTTCATGTTTTCATCTTAATAGGTATAAAACAAGTATTAGCTGAATACTCGCTTTCCTAATGGCAAATAATCCTAATTGATATCTAAGAATTTTAATTTAGGCATATAATAGTTGTTTTTTTACTCCATAAATTGTTATGAAGTATATTAGAGCTCTAAAAATGGTTTTTTAGGAAAATCTCCAGATTAGTCAATTAATATATTGATATCAAAAGTGAAATCATTGACTAAATAGCTCCATTTACCTAGTTGGTCTGCTGTGAAAATCGACATATCTGGTTAAAGTCTTTTTTCATTTATTATTTATATAAAGTCGTCTAGGCGGTGCTTATGAAATTAGAAAAAAGAATCATCAAAAGTTGGATCAATTTATACAACAACCTGACTAGTGTTTAGTAGCTCTCTGCAAAATAGGAGCTGCCCATTAAAATTTTTAATAATGGTTTCATTATAATACAAATGACTTACACTAGTTAAGTTATAAAATGGTTAATAAACAAGCTATGTATCATACCCAGGGATTATTAAATGATAACTATTATCTGTGTAGTAAATTGAATAACCGAGTTTATCAATTTTTCCCTAATTAAAAAGAGAAAGAAGAACTTAAGATTCTAGTCGAGCACTTGGAATTGAATATAAGAGCAAACCTATTCTCTGTGAGTCGTATTTTTAAGGATTTAGACTAGTAGGTTTGATATATTTAACATGATAAACGCCTTAAAGATATAAAATTGTACCGTCTATCACGATTGGTACATCGATTATGTCTCCACTAGCAAAATAATCTTAGCTTATTTAAAAGTTTGTGAATTAGCCTACTACAAGACAACTATTTTAAGGCAAACAACTATATGGAGTTAATTCATTTTCTTCTGTAAATAGATAGCAGTCTTAGCAATCAGGAGATGTAAAATAAGTAAACCTAGTTTATAAATCAAATTTTACATTGGTCACTCCAATAGTTTCAATATGCATTGAAGCTCTGAATTTATCATCTAGCACAATTTTAAGATTTTTTTAAAGACTCTTTTCATATGAGGCGTTTAGTAGTGAAATTGTACAGCAAGCAAAGCTTAATAGTAGACAAAACAGGATGAAGTTTTTCATGTTATTTCCAATTTATGTTTTTTTATTAATATTTAATTATAAGATCAAAATTGTTTCTAAGTTTTTCAAATATAAATGAATTAAAAATACAATTTTGATTAGATTTCTAAATGCTGAAGATTCCTATTTTTAATAAATGTGTAAAGTTCCTGATTAGTTATTTAAGAGGAGAAGTTATTGAAATTGGTTTTCAAATTTAATTTATGTAATCATTAAATCGACTACCATTAAATTTTTCTTTGCTAAAGTTTACAAATATTAACAATAGTGTAAAATTTCTAATTTGTGAATAGAGAGATGTAAAATAATAAAAATTGGTTTTCAAATTTACTTTTTATAATCACTGAATTAATTGATCACAATCAAAAACAATAAATAAAACATCATAAATGTATTTTTTTACTTTTTATAGCACAAAACAAGAAAGAAGTAACACAATATTGTTTGAAAAATATAAAAATATATTTATTAACATTTTAATTTTTAGTTTGTTTGTAGTAAATTAGTATGAAGCTAGTTAGTCTATTTATTACTCTTTTTTTAAAATTTAATATAATAATTAAGATAAATTTTTTATCTGATCATCTCCACCCAATTGATAGGTTAACTTTTAATGATCCAACTAACAATTAGATTTCTAATTCATAATAAGTAATTTTTAATTTATCATGTTTAGGTATGTAAGTAAGCTATCTTGCGTATTATCAACTAAAAGGACTACAATATGTATTAGCTTTAAAAATATCTATCCATAAAAAAAAATTTACAGCAAAAAATACTTTTCTTTAAGAAAATATGTTAAACTATTTTTTTATAATTGTAATCTGTAAAAAATATTAATATTAATTCAATAATTTTGAAGATAAAACAGTTTATTTTTAACAATATATGACTATTTTTGACAAATAATAATGAATTATAAAATTCTTATAATATAATTTACTAAAACATCAAAAAATAAAGTCACTTTACTTTATTCTAAAATAAATTTAAACTTTTAAATAGTAAATTATCCTTAACTATTATTCACCACAAAATATTTTTTATTTTTGTAATCACTTTATCCATAATAGAAAAGAAAATATATAGATAATACTATTTAGTTTCCTGATAAGAAAAATAATACATATTATAATACTTATTAGGATATAAAAAATCTAATTTATTAAAACTGTATCCTCATAATCAATTATCCAAAAAACACTTCCAGTGTAAGGTATTATCTATAAGTAAAAGTAATATTTTATTTGATCATTTTGTTTTTCATAATAATAAACTAAATTAATATATCACCTTTAATATTTTGAATAAAAAAATATTTTTTGCATCAAAATTATTCATCATAAAATACATTTTTTCTAATAGAAAAGAGTTTTTTATCTAGTATAAATTTGGCACTCATAATAAATAAAAAAATTATAGGTAATAAACATAAAATTCCTGAATAGAACAAATAATATATATTAGGTTTATAATACTTATTAGGATATAGGAATTTATTAAAACTAATTTCTTATTAACTATATAATATTTTTTAATTGTTTGTTATCTTCAAAAACCTAAAATTCCTAAAGAAACTTGCCAAATATTCATAATTTGAAAACTTTGACTATCCTATCAAAACAATACTGAGCAGAATAGATAATTAATTGATAGGTTTTATAAAATTATATTAAAATTATAAGATAAATTAAAATAGAACTGTTTAAATTTATATTTTAAATAAATACAATGTTTAACTAAAACATTTATTTGTTTTATTTATTTATTTTTAACTGGATATTGTTGATTTAATCAAATATTAATTTTCTTTAATAAGTTTAATTTTTGCTCATTTGCTTGCTACCTTTCATTTAAAATATTTGCAAACAAAACAAAATCAAATTTTATTAATAAAATTTGAAATTTTAGAATAATCATTAAATAGAAGAGTAAGTATTAATTATCAAAGAAAGAATGTCTTCACTAAAAGATGTAAAAATTAGAAAACTTAGGATTAAATAAATAACAAGTTTACTTTAAATTTCATAATATGAAAGAGATTATTAGAAAGAATTAACTCTCTTAATTTTAGTGATTCAGAAGAAGAGTCAAACTACAAGAAATCATAGTAAACGAAGAACCAGCGTGATCTTACATTTCCTAATAAAAAGTTGAAATTTGATGGTAATTATTTAGTAGATTCTTCATTTGGATTTCAAATTATTATTTAATAAAAGATAATCAAAAAAAGATGAACACAGATTTACCAAGAAGTGTTGTGGAAAAGAAATAAGCTTAAAGTAAGAGTAAAAATAAATTACATTTATGAAAATAATTTTCTACATTTAATAAGGTAGGAATTATAGATAATAAGAAAGTATGAATTAAAAAATAGAAACAAAAGAAAAATTTAATGGAGTTGAAGAAAATAACTAAACTTTTGCAGATATTGAGAGGCGTATTTAATAATTGGAACTTGACCTCTCTAAAAGTTTAATGTCATCATAAAATAATTACAATAATAGTTAACACAAGATTGTAGATGAAAGTAGCATTAACTATTCGGACAGTTTGAGGGATTAAAAAGGCGAATATGAATATTATGATGCTGAAATGCAGTAGCATAACAAAGAATTAGAATAAATCACTTAAACTATGGGGAATGTATTAGACAATAAAAATTTTTCATAAATAAGCTACTTACCACATTAGAACAATCAAAATATCAATAGAAATTCAAAAAATTTCATTAACTCAAATAATAATTGCACCAGCTGCACTCACGTTGGTTCTTTCAACTGTTTTTAAAATTAACTTTCTTAAGATTGTTTGTGTTGCAAATAAGCTCAGCATCACTTTCACTCTTGTCATAGCAATCACACTTTTAACACTGAACATGAAATGCAATACTGTCCTCATTGTAATTGTTTACTATTTTAACTTTTTATTCAAAAATATAGAGCTAGCAAAAGATATTTTCTAAATAATTTAAAATTCATTAAATTTATAAATTTTAAAATAATAATTCTTATTAGAAACAATCAATAGCAATGTTTGCTATAGATAAAAAGTTAATAGTATGGAAAGAAATTAATCAAATGGACAATATCTTTATTAAGATAATAAGTAGATATATCAACATGATAGATTTTAGAGGAATGTGAATAAGAATTTTGAGAATTTCGAGAGAGAAACTTAGGAGTTAAATAGAAGGGTTGCAGAAATAAAAAAAGAATTGGAGAATGACAACGAATCATCTGAAAATAGTGACGATGAAAGCAGTAAAAAATAGAAAGATAGATCATTATTAGACTCTAATTCCTTTTATAGAAACAAAAAGAGCAATGATGTCTCTGTTGATTCTGTAAGCTAAAGAAAGCCATAGAAATCAATTTTAAAACATAGCTTTTCAAATATAGACTAAAAAATATAAAATTCTTAAATGAAATTACTCTAAGAATTAGAGAAATCCTATTCCTAAGCAGATGGTGGAAGTGGCTTAGATAATAATCAATAAAATTACTTTTTATAATAAAAATACCAATAATAGTAATAATAAGATAGAAGTTCCTATTACACAAATAATTCATAAAGTCATGAATAAAAATATTAATTCTCTTAGAATTAAAATAACAATTATAGTAGCTCAAACCAAGTATACAACGATAAGGAAAATAACTACTAATCATAAAACTATAGTAATATTAGTACAACTCCTTTTTAATCTAGACCTCTCTTTAATGACGCTGATAAAACTGAATTACTAAATTAGCTGGCTAGAGAAAAATAGTTGTTAGAAGAAATAGCAAATTTAAGGTATTTATTTTTGATTTATTTGAATTTAAATCATCTAAAAATCAAGCTCAAATAAAATATTTTATAGAAGATAAAATAATTAGCTTGCAAGCTAAAATGGTAGTAGAAACGGAAGTAGAAATGCAAGTAGAAAAGAGAGCAGGCATGAGGATGAAACATACAATAAAAGTAGAAATAATAGTAATAGCAGAAGCCCATCTTTAAAAGAATATAAAACTCCTGATTTAAAATTTAAAGAGTAATCAGAAGAAAAAATAAAAAGAAAGAAAAGACAAAACTCATTCCAGAATGAATATTAAACAAATGAAGGAAATCAGCAAAAACAATATGAAAGTTAAAGAAATCCCTCCAAATAAACAAATAAATCCTATGAAAATTAAAAATAATATTAAAAGTAATTAGATAACTATTCAACTAAATAAACAGAGCAATATCAAACTTAGCAGAATTAATAATAAAATGATAATAATTTCTACAGCAAGAGATCAGATTCTTAAACTAATACAAAAAGAATAGTCAAATAATAAAAGCAAGTTAAAGAAATGGAAAAGCTAAAGAAAGAAACTGAGTTATTGTAATTAAAATTCTTATCAATTTACTTTAATTTACATTATTTTTTATTAGAAAATAAGTAGAAAGGATCAGAAAAAATATTTAGCACTCCATAAAAAAAAAGATAAATGAATAAAAGCTTATAGAGTAATTTCATTAAGATTTTATCAAATTTTTAAGCATTCAATTTATAGGAAATAAGAAAAAGCTTAGAAAGCTAGAAGATAATAGCACAGCTCATAACATGATCTTTAAAACCAATAAAAAATGGTTTCTAAAAGTTAAATGTAAAATAAATAATAAAACAAACTAATTTAGATTATAAGTTAAATTTTTAATAAAAAAGGTAAAACCACTGTTAAAATTGCTCTTTCTTACTAAATAGAGGAATTCCTACAACTTACTGCAGCTGTGATAAAAATAGAAAATGAAACGAAAAACAAAATATTCCTAAAAGGAAACCAATTTTCATAAATAAAATATTAAGAAAAAGTTTAAAATAGAAAAATACTACATAATGAAATCATTAGAAGTTTTTTTTAAAATGTTTATTTATTCATATACAATTATTGTTATTTATTCTTGCATATAAATCAATCATCACATAAAAATTATTCCATTTCTTTAAAAATTAATAATTTTTTTTATTTAGTTTAATAATTCAGTTAAATAGGTATTTTATAGTTAGAAAGGTAAATTTTATTTTTTCATATTCTAAAAAATGTATTTTTTAATTAAATTTGAATGAAGCAAAATCTAAAAAATGTTAGTATTCGTTTTTATAACCCCCCATTTTTAAAATTTTCAGCTCATGGTAAATTGCGCCAAGTGAAGCAGTGGGCAGATAGTACGCTAACGAAGTATTTATTACCAACAAATTATTTTTACATTAAGAATAAAATAGAGTAAAAAGTAGAAGTTTAGTGATATTACAAGTGAATAAATTTGTATTTATATATTCAAATACATAACAAGAATATACTTAATAATTTCGAAACTTAGGGATATTAAATAAATATATAATTAAATATTTTTATGTATATTTATTGATGACAACTAAATTAATTGATCAAGCTCTTATAATAAATTATTTTTATATAAAGAATGAGATAGAGTTAAAAGAAGAAGTGTTATGTTTGTTTGTTTATATTTGAGAATTTAATTAATAATGAGTATTTTTATTAAGTTGAGCCAAATTTGTTTTGAATGGTAGATTGTTTTTGAATGATATTTGTCTAAACAGTTAGTAAATATTCCATTAACTTATAAGTTGTTAAATTTTACAACTTTTTGTAGTATTTATTTCACAGGAACCTGATTTTACAGGTTTTAGATTCACAGTTTTAATAGTCGTTTGGAATTTATTAAAATGATTATTTTGAGTGTTTTTCTTAAAATTCTTTGAAATGCTAGGCAGAGCAGGTGTATTGAAAATGCTAGAATGATTATTCAGGCTCTTCATAAATTAGCTCACTAAACTCCTTTTTTTTATTCTGCCTCACATCAAGAATATATTGAATTTATTTTTCATCCAAAATATATTTTACTATATAGAGATATCCTAAAATTGATTTCTGACCTGGTATGATTCCATCTTCGTCTTAGCCGTAACAAATATGAATTTAAGGAACAATTTTAGCAGTTATCTTGATTCCATCTAAAGTTAAAATATCTATATTGTCACTCACCATAATACTTGACATATCAAAGTTGTTTTCAAAGAGAGTCTTTACAATATCAATAAATTCTTAGGTTTGTTCATTCCTTTTGGTATAATTAGTAACCTCAAAGAAACCCTGACGCATAATCAAATTATAATAACTTTCTAAATCAGATCCTAAAAGCTTAATAAAATTTTCATTGCAACCTGATTAGATAACACTTGCATCTGATAGATCATCTACACATTAAATTAATTAATAACTATAAAATCCATAAGGATCTTGTTCTTCTAAAAAAATCTTGAGCTCTTCATTCATAAAAGTGTTAAAAGTTTGATAGTTTCTTTTCTAGATTTCTGGAATTTTTCTGCTTAAACAGCATTATGCTATGTAGTGAAGATTCTATTTATAATTTGTAAGACGCGTAGCCAATTAATGATATTCTTAATTTTGTAGCGAATCCAGCTAATTTATCAAAGGATCTAAGTTAAGTATTCCTCTTTACGTTTAATCTAAGTTTACTTGAAGAAATTTTAGCTATTTTAGATGATTAAGCGAAACTACAGGTCTTAGCTATTTGTAAAGAGATTTATAAACTAAAAATCCTTATTCATTATCAAGTCCATTAAACTCAATATACATATCATGCGATAAAAATATTTCTTTTTGAGCAGCTAATGGCTTGTAAATGATTTAGACAACTCTTTGCTATATTTCATTTGGATTTCTCTTAGCTAGCTATAATTAATTATTTTTATTTTAGTCTTCATTCTTTTTTGGCTGTCTTAAAATAACAAGTCTTGTCTTGGTTTCTTCTATTTCCATTTTTGCCTTAATTAAATAAAAACAGACTTACTAAATAAATTAGAATTCTAATTAGCTAATTAATTAATTAGTAGTAAAATTTGTTTTAAGTATATATTATATATAAAGCTAATAATTCATTCATTAACTTTTCAAATTGATTAGTTGTTTTGCTTCTCCTCTTCTTTAAATTTGATAAATTAATTGAGGCTTAAATGGAATGCTTTACAATCATTTTTTAGTCATATTTAAAATAGATTGCCAAAAAAAGCAGTATTATTCTCAATTTTCAAAATATTTATATTATCTATACAAAACAATAGCAAAAAAAATGTTAGGTTATCTATCGTTGAATCAAGTATATTTTAATTATTTTGATATAAAATTAAATTCTGAAAACCTTCAAATCATTATTAAAACCTAAGAATAAAGTATCATTTTTTTTAATTGAAACAAAATGTAATTTCATATTACAATTACATAACACAAACTAATAAATAATTAAAAAATACAAAATAATAAATAATAAATATTTCATGAAAACAAACTTTCAAAAAAAAACTACTTTAAGAGGAATTAAATAAAATACAACAATTTTTTGACTATTAATTTTTATTTTTTTATTCTCTTAATCTTTATCTAGAAAAAATGCTATTTCATTAAAAAATAAATGAAAACATCAAAAATATACCCTCTTTAGCTTTTTAGGTAAGAACATTCATTTTTAAGGTTGTTGCCATCGTTTGAATAGGCAAAGAAGTTTAATTCAACTAACATTTTTTATTTTGAAAATAATTTGAAGTATTTTTGTTCACAAAAAAATTATAATGTTATTTAAATATTATTTATATAATTTGAGTTATTTATATATGAAATAGATAGATAGATTAGATCTTTTTATGAAATAATTATATCAAATAAAATATATTATATAAAATTTGAGTTATTATATAACATAGATTATATCTTTTTATGGCATATTATTACATATAGAGTACTAGAAATTTGAGTTTATCAATTTCATTTAGTTTATGAATTCAATGCGATTAAATTGCTTTTTCAGTTTTTAATTTTTACAATTTTTTTAGAAATGCGATTGCTTTTATTTTTTTCTAAGATAAGCTAAGATTATTCTAGCTCTTTCAGCAGTATTTCTTCTCTTGAATCCTTTTATTAAAGAAATATATTTTATCTGGGTAGAGAGCTAACTAAAGTTTGATATTATTAATTTAAATATGGTTGAGGATCACCTGTCTTGATTAAGTTAAATTAATTCATAAGCAAAATACCATTTTCAATTTTCATAAAGTCTCTCAAATTATTATTTTAGTTTTATTCTTCTAACTACTCTGAGGCCTTGTCGTTTTAATTTTAAATGTTCATAGCTTAAATAAAGTTTCCTTTAATTATTTCTGTTTCTTAACTTAAAATTATGTCAGTCCTTCCATCAAATGAAAAATAATACTTGAGAGATGTCTATGGTGGAATCATTCTTTAGATAGAAAACATTCCTTATTAAATTTAACTTTACAGCATTTTACATGGGACAAACTCGTCTATTTCTAAATGTAAGTAGAGATTTTATTCTTCTCGGTAGAAATTTAAAAGGTTATAAACATTCAAATTCAGTTCAAACTCGTGTTCAATCCATCCTTCACAAATCCAGCAGTTCTCTGACTCCGCCATTACAAAATTTTCAAATAAATTATTTTTTTTAGCTCTAAACGGTCTTTTATAACTTTTGAAAATAAAATAGACATAATTTAATTTTCTATTTCAATTAATGTATATTCATCAAAATAATTCATAAAAACCACAATTCCACACTATAAACAAAATTTCAAGATCCTTACAATAAATTTTAAATGAGTTTACTGTTTGATATTTCAACTTACAATTGATGTAAAAAATAATTATCAATAAATAAATAAACTAAAAATCTTCATATTTAAGATAATTCGAATTTTAAATATGAATTTGATAAGTATCTAATCATTTTTTTTATCGATTTAAAGAAATTATGTTGTATAAATATGTTAGCAAATTTTTGAATTTAATAAAGAAATTTTCTTGTTTGTTTTTAAGTTAATAGCAATCAATTATCTTTAATCAATAAAAACTGTATTGTTTATAATGTAAACTATACATTAGATGTATTGGTTAGTGGTTGGTAGATTTTATTCTATTTAAAGTTAATTAGTTAACAAAAATGAATAAATTATCTATTTTTAAATAGGATTGCTTAATCTTACTTGATTGGATAGATGGGAAGAAATTCTGAGTATTCTGGCAGTTAAACTTGTTGATCCTATGAATAAATTTTTAAGTTATTGCACGAATCCATGTAGCACTCATGACCATATGAGAGATGAATGCACGGAATTGATTAATTATATTAAATACTTCGAGCCATTTCAATAAGCTGCTCCTTTTTTATCTAATTAACTCTTAAATCTAAATGAACTAACCCATCTTCTTACTCTAATTTCATTAATCTATCAAATGAAATCAAAAATTTTCCTTTTAGAAAGTAAAAACTGAATAAAAAAATAGTTATAATCTTAGAATTTAAATTACTTATGCTTGCTTAAGTACCATTTCCCAAAGAGTTGTTTGAGAGATCTAAAACTTTTAAGGAATTTTTTGCTTAGATGCTATCTAAAATCTAAGAAGCCCCATCAGAATTAAATTTATTCCAACTAAGATAAAGCTCTTTCAAATTGATATTTGATTAAATAATAAATTTTATCTCCAAACACCCAATATTAGTAATAGAGTTTTTCGACAAATCTAAAACAATTAATGGCTAATTTAATTGAAGAGCACATGATATTATACTAATAGAATCGTCTGTGATCCCAACATTTGAAAGCTTAAGTACTTCAAGATTCACCTAAAGAGAATTAAACTTGTTCATTAATAAGTCAAGACAAATCGATGTGAGATTATTATCAGATAAATTAACTTCTTTATCATTTTAAGTTAGCTCCTAAATCAAATCTATTATCTTTTTCTCTCTCAGTCTATTCACTTTATGGAGCACAGGTCTATTAATCATTTACTTAGCAGCTTCACTCATAGCAAATTCGAATTCATTTTTATAACTACAAAATTTTAATAAAATTGAATTTATTATTTATTAATATTAGAGTTTTTTAATAAAATAAATTTATTTTTGCTATATATTTATATACCTTTAATCTAATTTTTACATAATCTCTTTATAATTTACAATCATTAAAAATAATTGAAAATAATACCATTTAATGCTTAAAAGTATATGGGAGAGGCTGGTAAGAATAAATGAGGATTTATAGTATTTTAAATAGCAAATATTTATTTTATATTGTTTAAGTTATATTTATTGATTTCAGAAAATATTGTTTTTTTGTATTAGTGTGATAATTAATCAAAATTCATGGTATTTAAAGAATATTCTGATTTTAAAAAATTGTTTAAGTAGAATTTTTGTTTGAAAAAATGAATGTAAATTTATACTAAATTTTTAATTAAACGTTTTAAAAAATTTTATGAATTAGTTAATCTATCTATCTATCTATCTATCTATCTATCTGAATTGTAATAAATAAGATACTTTTCCTATTATGGCTATTCATTTGGAGAAGGTAGATCATTGTCTTTTTTATCAGTGAAGGTTATTTTTATAGGAAGAGGTGCTAACATTTTAATTTTAGGGATTTTATTATTATTCGTATGCTGTTTATTATTACTAGGAGATGAGCTGATTTTTCTATCTATTATATTATCATCAGATTTTTACGTTTTAAGCTCTTTTTTACTTATTATCATTTTCTTGAAGTAGTAAAGAGAGTCATCGTTAAAATTAACTATCCTATTTGATTGTGAACTACTGTTTTCTTTTGAGGAAATAAAATAATTTTATCTGCTGTTTGTTTATTGATCTTAAACTTACTTTTTAATCGAAGTTAATTTAGGTTCATTATTAAATTTCTAAATTTTATTATCTTCTGATTTAATAAATTCTTAGCTTGGTTGAATCTCTTATATTGAATTTAAAAAATTTTTAGTTTTTATTTACTAGAGTTGATGAGGAAGCAGTTTTTTCAATTTAGGAGAGCTACTACGAGCATTTCTCTTCATATAAAAGACTTGCTTTACTTCTACTTGTTTTACATTATCTTTATGATAATATTTTGAGGCTGCTTATTCTAAAATTTTAATTGCTTAATCCACTTTAAACTATGTTTTTAAATTAGAATCAGGATCACTGAATAAGTTAGCTAGTTCTACTTATTTTCTCTCTTTAAGTTATAATTCCTCTTCTTATTATTTTTACTCAAATTAAGCATCTTCTTCTCTAATCGAATTTAAAAAAGTGTTGAAAAAAAAATTTTATGAAGTATTAGCTGCTGTCACTTTTGACTTATATAATAACTTTTCTCTGCTTTGATCTAATTCCTGTATTTGTTTATCATATTTTTTTATGGATTACTGTCTTTATGATTTCTCAATCTGAGGTAAAGATACTTCGTTATTAATTGTAGTTGAAGTGAATATTTATTCTATTTTCAGCTCATTAGCTAATGAAGCATCATTTTATTAATTTGTTTAGTTATTCTAATTTTAAAGTTATGAAGGACTGTTTGAAGTAATTGAAATATCTAATAAAATCTTATTAAACTTTTTCTATGAATTTGTTTCGCTTTCTTTAGCATTATTATTTATATTTGGCAAGATGCTTGTTTCTTATTTAGTAAAATTGAATGTTTCAGCAGTCGTTTCAGTGTTATTATTAGCATTGGTCAAATTAATATTGTTGATTAAAAGCAAGTCAGAAATTTGACTGCTATCGCTCCCGTTTTTGCTATTTTTATTGTTCTTTACATTGTATTTTACTTTCTTAACCTTTTTTTAACTCATATATCATTTAAAAATTTACTCAAATGATATTCTTATAATTAAATAGATAGACTGGGTTTATCAATCTATATATTTATAAATTAATTCAAATTAATAAATAAGCATCTAAAATCAATAATTGATTGGTCCAGCATATTCAATAAATCCTATCTTTCTTACCTACTTAAATGATACACATATTTGCATAAAAAAATATATTTGCTCAAATTCTATTTACAGTCAGATAATTATTAGTAGATTCAAATATGCATTTAGATATTTTTTAGTTGACAGCTTAAAGATTTATTTAATTTTCTTTGAAATATATTTTGATGTTGAGTAATTTATACACCTCACATTTATTAAAATATTTTTAAAAATTATTAATTATTTTTAATAAGAAATTAAAGATATTTTTTAAATTTATTTGAATTTAAATTCAGTTATATCAACCTATCATAAATATTTTTCACTCTTTGTATCATTAGCTAATAACAACTGATTAAAAGTATATTTGTTTTGATTTATTTATTTAAATATTAATTAAATTTGATTTTTTCACAATTAATTATTTTGAAGATTTATAAGATTATAATCTATTTTAAAATTAATTTAATAACAAATAAACAAAAGTACTTCACGATATCAAAAAATAATTATCCTTATTTATTATTGATAGTTAAATAATAGTTAGAACTATATTAATAAAATTAAAGATTATATAAAAAACAAAAATTTATTTTCTGATATATTGTTATTAATTAAATGAAAAAAGTATATCATCAAAATATTAAAAAATTTTGTGCAAAAATTAATGCCATAATCGAAAAAAAAAAAAATTTAATAAAAAAAATGCCTTAATTAACGAGCATTTACATTATAATTTTTATGTATTTATTTATTTACTTTAATAATATTTTAAAATAAAACTACACATGAGGAATTTGTCATTTCAATATTTTTTTCTATTTAAAATAATTATTTTAGTATAATAAACACTTGCATGTATGTATGCATGTATGGAATAAATCTACAATAACTTTCAAATAAGAAATTCAAAATATTGCTGAGTCATTTTTAAAGAGAATATTAGATATTACTTTTCATTTATTTGTAAAATTAATAACAGAATCAACTTTCTTATAACTTATATTTTATAAGAAATGTTAATGCTTGAACGAAATTGAAAAAGATAAACTAAATTTCCTCTATTTCAATTAAATAATTATATATTAATAAAACTAAAAAATCTTAAGCAAAAGTATATATCATTAACTAAGATTTTTAAACTAACAAAATTTTAAAATATTTTTATATTTCTCTATTGTTATTTATTTAATAAAATACTTGATATTTAAACTGATTAATTCTAAAACAAATATTTTTGTATGAATTAGATTGCTTATTTAATTTTTGATAAAGCTAATTTTATTAATTAAGAAATAAATGTCTAAATAAATTTACCTTAAAATTAAATTAGCTATTTAAAATATTGATTAATTAACTTATTGCTCGAAAATCAAAACAATTTATTGTAATCACAATCTATTTTAACTTAAAAATTTTTTAGATAATAATAAACGTATTTGATCTTAAAGTAGAATTTTAATTATTGTTGGCTATTATATCATTAATCAAAAGATCAATTAAAATACCTGATAATATGAAGAAACTAAGTGCAGTAAATTTTTGAAAAAATTGATTTTAAATGTTTCTTCATACTTTTATTTATTTATTTCCTTCATAACTTTAATGATTTTAGCTACCTAAATTTCTTTAAAAAAAATTATTTCTTTCTTGAAAATGAATAGTCAATCTTTTTGCTATTAAAATTTGCTTATTTTAAATCTGTTCAGTATTATAAACAGTAGTTGAATATGCATTATTACATTATCTTTATCATAATCAATAATAAATCTTATCAATAAATACTCTGATTAAAGTTAAATAAATTATTAATTTAATTTGATCTCAAAGCTGAATCAAAATTTTATCTATCTCTATCTATCTAAATAGAGAGCTATTATAATTGTGATTTTCTATTTATACTCAGATATTTTAAATTTAGTTATAATTAATAAAACGAAAAATATCAAATTAAAATTATTAAGTAGTAATAAAAAAATAAAATGATTTAAGAATAAAATTAGAATATCGATCCTGAATTAGATGAAATTTAGTTTGATGATTATGTTAAAAAAGCATAAAATACTCACACCTAAAACAATTAATTAAAAACACATGTAAAAAATTTAGAAGATGCTTTAAAAAATATGAATTAATAATAAGCAACAGAATAATAAGCAGCATAGAGCTCTCCTAAAGTTGCAAAAACTCTTTGTCTTGGTTTATGCTATTTAATTATTAAAATAGTATTTGCAACAGGCTCTTCTATTACTTTTGGTGTTTTATTTTATATATTCTAAAAATATGATGAACATAACGACTACTGCGAAAACGAAACTCTCAAAAAATGGGCCTTATCTATAAGCATTTTATTTTTTATAAACAGTGGTTTATTCTTTTTAGAATTTTTAGAGGAGATCTTTCTCAAATAAGAATACAATGAAAAAGGCCCTTTGGGCATTTTATTGTATCCTTTAAAATCTTTAGTTGGAATTGGCTTTTTTACTTGTTTAATTGGACTTCAAATAAATAATTCAAGTGAATGTGGTTCTCTATACAAGGTTACTTTAGCTTACTGTATAATAACTTATATAGGTTTTGGAATATTAGGATTGGCCTTAATATTCATGTGCTTAGCATTTATAATTAGAAAAATAAGTGGATGATATTTTATTGTTTCATTAAATATATATATAAAAACATTTGCATTTATTTACATTTATCATATTTATGATTTTTTTTATAAATTTAATTAAATATAGTTAATAATATAAAGTAGAATATATAATTAAGATTGAAAATTTCTATGGAAAAACAGACTAAAAATTAGAATAATAATAGGAAAAAAAATTTTTAACAAATTAATATTATATTAAAAATAAGTAAATTAGACGATTATAAAATAAAAACAATTTACAAAATATTTAAATCTATTATTAGTTAATAATAATATTAATAGATTAAATTTCAAGATAACATAATCAAATATGATTTTATCAATTTTTTTCATTAGATGATTTATTTTTATCATAAATATTGCTTTAGCTTCCTAAAATAAAGTCATCTTTAAAGTAGTTAACTACAATGCTACTCAAGTTAGGAGAAAATTTCCATTAAGGGCCTTAAATTATTTTAATATATTTTAACCTTAATTTAAAAAATCAAATTAAATTACTTGTTGAGTGTGATATATTACTGTTTTAAAAAGCTTTGTTTGGGTCTAAAATATAATTTGATGAATTTATATTGCTTACAAAATAATTATTTGATGAATTTTTCCTTTTTTGAACTTTAAATTTATTAGATTAAATTTAATTTTTGTGAAATAAAATTACTCGTTTAATTTGTTTTAGTTGTTTTAAGAGGAGATTCATTTTATTATAGACGTTATTTAGATTAAATATCATGATTTATAAAGCTTCTCTTATTTGAAGAAAATATCTCTTTATTTGCTAATTGTAAATAATTCAATGTGGCTATATTAGAAAAATTTATAATTACTTTATTAGCATGGTTCTTATTTTTTGAAATGAGACAATCTTTTTTATTGAATAGAATTTTCTTAAGATTAAAATTATTTTCCTGAGAACTTACAAGAAATTCTTCTATCTTTTGAAACTTTTAAATTTTTGAATTCATTTCAATATGTAAAAAAGAAATCAATTAAAAATTACATAATTAGGTCGCAGTTAGTTTACTTTTTTTAGATTTTTGTTAAGAGGATGCTAATTCCACTAAAGATAAATTATTTTTAACCTTTAAATATTTAACATATTTTTTAATTTTAAATTTAATATTCATTAACTTTAATAGTGATCTTATTTTATTTTTGTTTTATATTTAAACATCAAGCAATTATGGATATTTTTTGCTAATGAAATAAATAAGTTTTTAAAAAATATTTCTTTTATTCTTCTCAAAATTTATTATGAATTTTAATAGCCCCATTATCAACGTGACGATAAAAAGAATATTAATAAATACTAATAGTATTATCCAAAAAGGGTTCACTTAGTCTGCTGCAACTTATAAAAAAGATAAATTTAAAGAAAGAGCACATATCAATGTAGATTTCTACTGCAATTAATTAAAGTATTCTCTTATAAAAGGTTTATATCTAACTATAAAGTAAAATTCTAATAATAAAATTATATTTATAATGCCTACCTTTTAAATTAAAAATTTAAAGAGTTAAAATAAATAAATAAATTTAATTGAAGTTAATTAATTATTATGGGAGGGTTTATACAATCAAATTTGTAGTATTAAAAATAATATCAAAATATGGAATTGAATTTAATTAGGCGTTTAGCTATAATATCTTTTTTTTAATACCCGTCCACAAAAATTTTATTTGCTATTTAATTAAAAAAAATATTTAATAAAAAAGATTATTTACTTGAAAAGAAGTATTTTGCTTCAACAAAACCGACATTGAAATCAAACAAGTTTTATAAAGTAATTTTTAAAACTCCCAATAATAGTACTTTTCTTTGTATCCAGCATAGAATATAGAGTATTTCATTTGTTGGAATATAGAGTTTTATTTGTATTTTGTTTGGTAAATCTTATAAAATAGAATAATAGGAATTATTAGTGCCCAAGCCATTATTACAGGAACACTAAAATATAATATTTAAGGCCTATGCATCTTGCTATCGTAGCACTAGATATTCATATCTAGATCAAGATATTCTTTACCTCCTATAGAAATACAGTTTAGTGATCTAAAAGCCATAGTAATTATCATGGGGTAAAAATAAAAGTAAATAAAAATAGATGCTGTTCGAAGATATTTGATAAAAATTTTAACGTTTTATTAATCTAATATTATTCCAATTATAAGATATATAAAAAATACTGTGATCGGTAAAGATAAGGACCAAAGAGATTAAAATAACCATAAAGGCTATAATTAAGGATATTTTGAAAAAAGGCAATCAATAGATTTACTAGTAATAATAGCAGAGTTTCCTGAGATGCTTACAGGAAAAGTAAAGAAATTAGGCATATTAGAAGTAAATATACATAATTAAGAAAGTATATGTAAATGATCTGTTAAAATTTTAGATATTACTTATGATCTATCTGATTAATTTACTATTAGATAAAATAATAAGTAATTAATATTAATAATTAATAAAGATAAAATTTACAAGTAGTTCCTAAATAAATGATATCTAATTTATTAAAAAAATATCCTGTTAGTTTAAATTCCATTTGTGCTATAATTCTTTTCAAAAGGATCAAAATATAAAAAGATGTAAGTAAAATAATAGATAAATTGAAAAATATTATCGAATAAAAGCTTTCTTAACATTTTTAGCACTAAAAAGACTTAAATAATGTAGAATAACTGGATCCCCAAATATTGCCATACGTATCACAACTACTACATAGTGGACCTTTATAACCTTCAATACAGTTAAACTTTTAAATTTATAATAATGAAATAATTGAATGAAACTAACTAATTTTAGGAATTAAAAATATAACAAACTTTTAGAAAAAAAAAAGAAATAATATAAATTTTGTTATTTTTTTTTTTTTGATATAGCAAAAATCTATTTAAAATTTAAAATATTACTTTTGAAGTTGGGAGCTATGGTTGACAAGATAAAGGATTAAAATTACAATAAACAATATTGTCAGTTCTTTCATTTTCTCTCCAATAACCACTTTTTAGCTAAATATTCGTGCCTGAACAGTTTTTAGCTTATTCGGGACACTATTTACACTCTTGGTCATTTAAATTTAATGAATATTTACCATCAGGACAAGTTTCACATGCTATTGAGTTACCATAATTTTAAAGTATTTATCCTAATTAACACTATTCTAATGTTATATTCAAAATTTATTATAATTGACCTGCACTTTATATTATATTTCCTTTTGAGTCTTTGATTTAGGGAAAAGAATTGCTAATTATTTTAAGTGACATATTAGAAATAGGTTTGTAAAAAACCTGAACATCTAATTTAAAACCTCCATCTGAAAATTATTTTGTTTGAAGTTATCCAATACATTGTATTTCTTTATTTTACTAATCCCATGATACAGAGATACTTATTTATTGAACTAAAGATTAAACCTCGTTGCTTAATAGGTAAAATTAAGTAGAGTTAGCATCTATAAATTTCATAGGATTGCCTTCTTCATCAAGTAATTAGATTTGTTCAAAATTTATTTATTCTCCACTTTTAAATTATTTTATAAATATCGTTTCATTTTATTATGATTTTAAACTTGTTTTAGGAATGCTTATTTTTTCTAAATTTAAAAATATTTTCCTTAATGTTGAACCAAAATTTTATCCATAAATCTATGCTATATTATCTTTAAAAGTATTATTGTTATTTCTGCCTAATTAAAAATCGATTAAAAAATCTGGTATTATCTAAACATAGTAAATTCCTCCACCAATTTGAGCTTGATTTAACCTGATAATAGAATTTTGCATGATTAAATTATTATTTTAGAGAAAAATTGAGCCACCAGAAGAATAATCTGATTTATTTTCTATAAATTAAGTTAAATTTATCTACAAAACCCCTAATTGAATAATATTTATCATATAAATAGCTCCTCCATTTTGCAATTTACAAGTATTAAGCCTAAAGTTTGAATTTAATATTGTAACTAATTTATTTTCAAGAGCATATATTACTCCTCCTGGGCCTTTAATGTTTGTATTCTTTGTAAAATTACTGTTGTAAATTGTAACTATATCACAATTTTATATAACAACTATAGAAATTAGGGAGCTATTTGTATTAATTACGCCTTCTATTAATATATTTTATAACTTAACATTTGACAGGTTGTTTAAAAGTATTAAGGGTTTATTACCAAGAATAGAAGAATTTATGAATTCTGCTTAAGAAATAAGAGCATTTCCCTCATTATTTTATTAGTTTAAAGAAATCAATGATATTTAATTTCTACTTGAATTAATATTATTTATCTAAAAGTCAGTAAAGCCTATTATACTAATTAAAATACCATCTAATCTTGAAGGTAAATATTCTGTATTTGTAATATTTAAATTAGCAATATTTACTTAATTAGCTTGAATAATCAAAATACTTTATGAAATTTAGAGAAGATCAATTTTTAAATTAGAAAGTTCAAAAATGTTAGTTTTAAAAGAAAAAATGGTATCTACACAGTTAGTTATCTCTAAATCAGTTAATATAGCCTAATCACTCAAATATTAAATGGTACCAATATCTTATTCTTTTACTTAAACAATTACACTTTAGGTTGAATTTATTAGTTAAATTTTTTAAAAAGTTGATATTTTTGTGCTTTGTATAAAATAAATATTTGAAAAAGAACTTTAAATTATTGAAGTATTCACAATTTTAAGATTATTTATTTACCACAATTCAAAGGCATTATTTAAATCAGAGCAATTTGATAGAGTAACATTTGATATATTCACAGATTCGCTTTAACTAATCTAAAAAATATTACTCTAAGTTAAATCAGAAAGATAAACCTAATTAATCAAAACACTAGTATTATTAGTGAAAACAAATATAAACTATTCGTGTTATTATATGTCTTTTAAAAACAATTAGTCTATCACAACTAACTCACAATTAGAAATTTAAATCTAGCTAAGACTTTCTATTTTTATTACTAACTGTTATAAGTAAACCTTTTTAAAATTATTTAAATAGAGTGATTCATTTAAATTTAAAGAAACATTCAACATTTAAAAATTTTCAATTGTATTATTTAAATTTAAATTTATTTGAGTTGTTATTGATAGAGTCATTTATTTTAAAAATAAATTCGACACTATTGAAGATAATTTAATATCATTTTGCCATAGAATTTTATTTTCATATTTAGAAAATAATCTTAAGCTCAGTTTGTGAGTTTAATCTATGTTTTAGTCTTGAACTTCAAAATTTGTTTATTCGATAGATTATCCATCTAAATATTATATTTCTATCAAAGAAAGTATTTAGTTAATTTATTAGATGGATTTAGTTGTCTAGCCAAGTATTTCTTAGGTATAAATATTTTCAGATATTCTATTCTGTTATTGTATGTATACAGAGCATAATTTATTTGTAGAAAGTGGTAACTATATTAAAGATATATTCTAATAGTTTGAAATTAATATATATGCATAATTTTGATTGTTATTATCTTAGATAAGCTTATAGCTTTAAACAATGAAGTTTGATTATTCATACTCATAAATAGTTGAATAAGTATCATTATATTTCAGCTATATTATTGATAATTTATTTTTTTAAATTACCATAATTAAGTTATTATAATTCATATTAATCAAATTATTTGCTTCTGTGATCCCTTTATTTATTGTAGGAAATTATTGTTCAAAGCTTATTCCATTGTAAATAATAATATCAAATGGACAGATAGAATAAACAAAATTCTAATCGAAAGAAATAATTGCTTGTTTCAAACAAGGATTTGTAATATAAGTTATAAAATTTAAAGTGTAACTAAAAATATAAGTAGTTGCTTCATTGCTTACTATATAAATTAGTTATTTAATAGGATCATTAGCAATATTCATTATATTCCAATTGTTTAAATTTTTTTAAAAAGTGAACTTAACACTAACCAAATCTAAAATTAATATCGTGTTACCATAATCTTATTTTTGTAATATAAAAATATTTTTTGCAAATGTTCCTTCATTTATCAAGTCATTGGTATTAAATCTTTTATTGTCTTCAAAAGGTATTTTCCACCAATTATTTGCTTATTGACTAATTTATTTTAATTATAGTTTAAAAGCAATTTTTATTTTACCTACATTTGGTAAATCAATGCTTTATGTTTAATTAGATTTAATATTGTATATTTAAATAGTGTTATGACTAGGGAGAATTATGTATTAACTGCATATAAAAGCACTTTATATATCACCTTATTAAAAATTATTTAAAAACACTTCTCCTGAACTAAGTATTCTAATATTTATACTATTTAACTAAAAGCTTTACTTGTATAATAAAAATACTTAATTCTAATTTTAGTCATAAAAGAAATTATCAGGGATATTTTATAACTAAATTTTAGAAATTAATTCTAATGTATTTTTCAAGAAATTTACTTAAATTATATTTAAATAATTAAAAGTAATATATATGAATTGGTTTTCAGATATTAAAATTGGCTCAGTTAAGTATGGATAAATATTATATTAGAATGGTTCAAATAGTAAAGAGTCAACAAGTATTGCTTTATAGAATAGATTAAGTGAGAGATTGGTAATACTATAGTATACTTAATATTCTTCATTTAAATATATATTCTAAACATTCTAATACTAAAATAAGCTAATTTCCTATACAAGAAGCACTTCTGTAAGATCAAAAGCAATAAAAGCTGTTGTTGTTTAAACTATTAATATTTAAAGTAGCTAGTTTATTTTAACATCTATGATGTTTGTTTGATTGTATTATTGTAATGAAAACACCTCAATAAGTTACATTTCTGGATACTTTAAAGCAGTAATAAATTAATATGAATAAAAGAAAAGGATATTCTTATCCTGATACATTAATATACCTTAAGTATCTTTAACATATGTGTTAAATGTTGTTATATTTCTTGTTACATAGTTACATAAGTAAATTATAGGAGTAGTATCAATTACAATTAGACTTGTTTGGTCCTCAAAATAGTATGTTGCTCCTTATAAAAATGAGTTGGTTGTGTAGTATGTAAATAACACTTGATCGCCTGGAATAGTCATAATAGTTATTTTTTTAATAACTCCAGTTACTCTTATTAAAGCATTATTTAATAAATCATAGTAAATATTTGTACTATTTTATCTATTGTCTAAAAAATCAATATATGCTCTAAAGTCATTTCTTTAAAAGTAGTTAACTTGAGTATTAGCTTAGCATATTATAAGTTTCTTTTGTATATTTATTATTGGTATATTTTGTGCATCATTGAAAAAATTATTTAAACTAACCTAAAATTTAAAAAAATAATAAATAAAAATTTTGTTCATAAATAAATAAATTAGTAATTAATTTAATACCCCCGAAAATGCCGATTCATATTTTCCAGTAAGTATATTTATAATTTAAACAGTAGGCGAGTAAATTATCAATATATTTTCATCACATTTCAGAATAAATTTAAGCTTTAAGACAATTAATTGGTTTTAATATGAGAATTATGTTTAGACTTTTGATGAAGTATAATCTGACATCTATTAAATATTATTGATAAGTTAAAATAATAAATAACTTAATTAATTAAAATTACTTTGATTATATATATATTTTATTTTTAAGTTTAAGCCACGATAATTTGTTATTATTAGCAGTATTAGTAATCTACAATATTAGAGTTTAACTGGCGAATTTTTACATTCTAATTAGTATTATTTTTTGGATTGTAAAAATAAAAACTTGAACCATTCACATATATAAAACTATAATTGTTCCAATCAACTAACTTGATTCTTAAATCAAATTTATAGTTAAAAGTTATTTAGCCAACTTATGTTATGTTTTTTATGATGTCATAAATAAATAGACTTTAGAAACTACTATCGTAAAATGCTATTAAATTTTACCCATTTTCAAAATAGAGATCTTAAAGAGTTTAATTTGAAGTAAAATTTACTACTTAAAATGGTATATTTAATATATTTTTATGCCAATAAACTCCATTCACTGATTAAAATATGTGGACTAATGTATCATCCATTTATATTTAACCAATAAAGTTGTTGTTTTCTTGTTGGGATTTTATAATAATCATATTTTTAGTGTCAATTATTTCTCCAGATTTTTTTACATATGAAGTGCTACCTAACTATTAAAAGTTTACAACTTGAATCTAACTAAAGTCATTAATTGTCACAGCCTCTAAAATTTAGAATTGTTTAATCTCCATATCAAACTTATAGAAATAAGTTGAATCATAATAAAATACATATCTTTCAGTTTAAAAAATAGATGTTTATTATGTGATTTGATTATATGAATATTGAATACCAAGATCTAACTCAGCCTGAAATAGTAAATCAAATGTGTATATTTGTATAATTCCATAATAAAATATAAATATTTCTTTGGTTTTTTAATAAAAAGTAGTAGGATTGTTTATAGGAAATAATTATAGTTAAGTGGCTTGCATTATAAAGTTTTATGCTTGCAAAGAAAAAGGTTGGCAAATAGGAAATTCATAAATTTCGCAAAAGAAAATAATATCATTATCAAATATCACAGGATAATATGAACCTAAATCAACAGTCCAAAATTTATTCATAAAACTTTAATGAAAATTAAATATTTAAGTGGATATTAAAGTAGATAAATCTAATTTATATAATATTAATTCATAATAATTATGTAAAGATAAGTAAACCAAATAATCTTCGTTGATTATTACATAACTACACAGTGATAAAAATTGGGTTTAATCACTATTAATTAACTCTTATGAGTTACTAAGATTAAAGATTTAAGGAAGGTTTTATACTAATAAAAGATTTTTATCTTAAAAGTAATAATATTTTGTTTCTTAATAACCGTAAGTATAATTATAAGATAATATCTATTTTCCTTATTAAATATCAATAATATAGTCGAAAACAATATAATTAATAGATTATTAAATCAAAATATATTAATTACCTATTTGACTAATAAATTTGTAAGTATTTTGATTAGTGAAAGTGCTTTAATTTTTATTCATTATTTTCGTATTAATTGCAGGTATTTTTTAAAAATAATAGGCAGATTCCTATATTGCCAGATACCCTATGGTTTAGTTTACAAATGTTTGATGACCATCAAAAATAAAAAATAAATTCATATTACTTTTATCAATATGAGTGGTTGATAATTAATTTTAACTTAAATGATAATTATCATCGTAATATAAATTCTTAAATTAATAAGGATTTAAGTACTAAAATTTATATGTATAATTGGTTAGATTATACCTCAATCTAATCTGCTATTAATAAGCATTTTAATTTGTAAGAATTTGAGTAGCAAAAATATCGATTAATTTTTAATCTAATTTAAAGATTACTTTCGTTATTGTCGATATTTTAGTTATATAGCTTAAATTTAAAGATTTGAATTAGTTGACATAATTTTATGTTTAGCCTTAATGGAAAGAAATTAAATAATCTGTTAAATTCAATACTTATAAAATATCAGTGAATATGAAAACTAAAGTAGTGTTTGATGGGGTATCTTCAAAAACTTGAAATTAGCTGATTTATGTAGAAGTTAAATTCGTCCTAAAAATTATTTAATCAGACGATTAGTTTAAAGCTAACATTTCTAATAGCAGACTATCACTGTTTTGTATAACAATGCAATTAAGAAGATTAGAGTAATACATTTATTATATTTATTCTAATTATGTTGGGTTAAAATGCGCTATTTGTGTTACTAATTGTATTGAGTCTTGCTTGATATCAATTTTAATTACTTCAGGAATGAGATATCCAGAAAAAGAAGTTAAAACAAAGAAATTATTGAATTATTTTATATTTAAAAAAAACAAATAATCCAAATTCAATTAATTGATATTTTTAAATGCTAAATTTCTCTATTCATCCAAAGCTCCTATCTGTTTGTTTTATTTAAATAAAATTATGAAATAAATTTTCCTTTTAATTAATTAAAATTTACTTTCAATGATAAATCGTTTATTTACATAATATAACTTGTGCTGTTATTGCTTTGAATTTAAAAAAATGCTAAAATTATTGAAAAACTTATTTGGCATTAATTTAAACTCTTATTAATAGCATCATACCATAAAATAATGTTAGAGTAAGCTGATGATAGAAATACAACTTAATTTTTTTAATCTACGCATAAAACAAAGTAATCAAATTCTGTATCACTCATAAATATAACTTCTAATGCTTAAAAATCCATCACTATCAATTATCTGTTAGCAGTACATCCTCCTTAATTTCCAACTATAAAACTTTTTATATTTTCTTGTACTCCAAGAGAAACAATAATTGAATCTTAATTTATTTCATCTTAAAGGATTTATATATTTATTATTTTCCAGTCACTATCAACTAAAGCAAAATTGCAATCATTTCCTGTGACTAAATATTAATTTTCATTAATTGATTCTACTTATGTTACTGTTTTATCCATTGAAAGCCTTTAACTTTCCTCAATCTAAATACATTTTAGAGTTTCTTCACAAACCTTAGCTTCCATATTCTAATAAAAGCTTTATGAACATTCTTAATCACATTATCTTAGGATTGATGGCCCTTATATAAAATTCACCAAAAATGGACAAATGTTATTCACCAATGTACACTAATTATTAATTAAATCAAGGTTTAAATTTATATCACATTACTGGCATATTTAGTTTGTATCACATTTAATGCATCCATACACTTAGCATCTCTCACATTCTAAATTTTCATTTACATACTCTTCTTTTGAACATTTTTGTACGCATGTAGAACTATTAACAGAGCTCTTAAATAGATTAGCATCACAACTTATACATGCTGATTCATTAGTATTAAAGCAAGTATTGCATTGGTTTGAACACTAAAGGCAGGATTAAGATATCAAAGAATAAATTTACTTTGATTAGCAATTTGTACAAAAACATATTTTAATCAATTATAAGATAACTACAAAAATGATTTAGTAATTCATATTTTTTTAATTGTTCGTTCAGAGGTTTTTACTTTTTCCTTAATTATTTAATTAAATTAATAATATCTCACAATTTTTATATGTATTGTTAACCTTCTTCATCTAATAACTATAAATATAACAAGCACAAATTATACATACAGATTCACTATTATACATTTATTCCATTTATTTGAATGCTAAAAGCAATATTAAGATATATTATAATATACTTCTTTGATTAGTAATTTGTACAAAAACCTATTTTAATAAATTAAAAGACGTCTGCAAAAATTATTTAGCAATTCATATTTTTTAAGTTTTTCAGAGGTTTCTTTCTACTTTTTCATTAATAATTTAATTTAATTAAAAAATTTCATTCAATTTTTAAATGTATTCATCTCTCTCTTCAATAACTCTAAAATTAATTTAAGTAATATAAAATAAAAAATCTAATGAAAATTTTAAAAATTAATATATGAATGAATGATATTAAAGTGACTTTTATTATATTTACTAGTGATCAACCGAATATTCGGTCTGTAGTGAAAATTTTATTAAAAAAATTGAAATATTTTTACAAAAATATTTGAATCTTCATTATTTATTTTTTAAAAATAAATTTAATTATCTAAAATAAATTTAAACAGATAAAAAAAAAAATAAACTTCTAAAAGCCTAGTGGAATGTTTTTAAATTTTTACTTGTTAATAAAAAATTATTTCTTTGGCAAAAAAGTAAGAAATAATGATTTTTGTAATCTTTCTATAATATAAATAAATATAGTTAGAGAGCTAGTTTTGATTATCTTGAATTCACCTATAATTAAATCTTAATGCTCTTTAGAACTCACTATTAAAAAAATAAGAATTTAATTAAATAATGCAGAAAATATATTTTCTAGTAATTAAGTAAATTTCTATGTATTAGTTTTCTTCATACAAAGTTAATAATTTATCAAGTTTAAAATTTCATTTTTTTATTTATATTTTCAATAAAATTCTATTTTGACTAATTAAAAGTAGTAGAGAAAAATTATTTTTTTATTTTAAATTGAATTTTTTTAAAGATTTTCTTTGTAAAATAAGATTATAAGCAACTTTCTTGATGTATATTAAATACTTCTACCAGAAAAAAAACCACATAAATCTATTTAAATTAAATAAAAAGAAATACTAAGTTAAATGAAAGAGTTAAGTATGCAGATGTTATCTTTCATTAGTTTTTCTTCGCTTGATTTATTGAATAAAAATAACAGAAAATAAACCCAAAAATTTCAGCAAAATTTTCGTTTGATTATAATCAAGCCTATTGCCGCTTATAATTATAGCATAACATTAGTAAAGATCTGGATGGATTCCAAAAATATCTTAGTAAAGGATAAATGTTGATACACAAATAAAGTAAGTTAGAAATATATTTAGTAATCATAATTTTTAGAATAAAGGAGCTCATATAGTTAAGCAAAATGCTAACTTTAAAAATAAAAATTATATTTTTATGATTTTTAAGCTAAGTCAAAAAACTAATTCAAGACTGTTTAAGCAAACCCAAAATTTTTTTGAGATTAAAGGTTCTGACTAAGTTACTTAATTAAATAATTAAATGGATAATGCAATAATCAGATTTAAATCGCACCAAAAAGAAAATTAATAAATAACTCCTACCTTCTCTTTAAAAATATTATATTTTAAATGAGAAAGATATTTTTCTTCAAATAAATTTTCAAACATTAAATCCTCTTGCTAATATAATTCTTTCAATCATTCAAACATAAATAAATATTAGCTGATATAAATTAATTTAACTAAGATTTTTAATTTACAAATAACAGTTAAAAAATAATATTTTATAAAAATGATATATAAATAAGTTAAGATAATATATTGCTTTATATTTCAATAGAAGTGATATTTATATAACATATTAGTTTTAACTTCATTAAGTTTTATTTAATCAACTATTTCTAAACTGCTTGTAGTTTGGTGTAATTTACTTAGGATGCTATTATCAAGCTAGAATTAAGACCAGTCTTTGGCATTTTTCTTGAATGGTATGCCAAAACTGTTAGCATAGAGCTCTCCTTATGGGCAGTTATGAGGATAGCTTACATAAATTACTTAGGATGTTGTTAAATCTAAGAATAGTGAAGAACTGCAATGCATTTATTTTGCATGTAAATTGAGGTTTCCTAAATGGTTCTTAGCATTTATTTATTCATAACTTTTGCATGTTATTGAGCATATCACATCTCCACAAATCAAGCACATAGTCGGGTTACCATCTCTATATTTAGATAAATCTCCACAAATTGAACATTTGACACGTTAGTATTTTTTAAATAAGTCATTAAAGTTGTGTTCGAGAGATACAAAATTTAAAGATGTATTATTAGGTGTTATTTTAAGAATATTTAAATTATTGTGATTAAACTAATGCTTTAAGCATAATTCGATGAATTGTTTTTATTCTTCTTATGAAGATATGTCCACATTCATAAATCTAAGCAAACTCAATACCTCATCTTTTGAGTCATCGAAAATTAAGTTTAGATTCTACTTGATTTTTGTATCATAGTCGAAGAATAGTGATAATAAATTCCAAACTCTTTGTAAAATGTCAACATTAAACTAGCAAGCTTCATTATCATTAAAAGTGTTTATTTGCTCAGCATTTAAATTAAAATTCTAATTTTCATTCCCTTGTTATTTTTTTCTCTATTAAACAATGCAAATTTAAATGAATTTTGCTAGTAAAACTGGGACGATTGTTTTTTGAATTAGTTGTAAGGATTCTTTTTCTGAATGGAAATAGTTGAGACTGTAGAATAAGAATCTTGTGTACATCTCTTTGAGGTCATTTTCTAAAAGATTATTGCTAATATTCTTAAATGAGGAAGAAGAAGTTGTTAATTAAATATTTGATAATAATTTCATCACTGTGATGCAATAATTCTTTCTCTTGATGTAGAACTTTTCCAAACAACTTTGATTCAGACTCAAATTCAAATTCATTAATATTTATCTCAAAAGAGAGAGTTTCTTAGGTTAAGAAATGAGAGTATTAGGGCTGCATTCAAAATCTGTAATTCTCAAGTGATTGAGAAGAATATTTTCAATTCTGTTCATCTACTTTTCGTCACTCGATTCGCTTTCAATTTCCATATTTTGAGAGACATCTTTATTTTTTTAAAAATCATCGTCTTCGTATTGAGTAATGTTTATTGTTTCAATCTAGGTAGAAAGGAAATGGTAATCGATATTATCTCCTAAATGATCTTTTTTATTCTAATACTTCTTATACTTGAAGTCTGTACTGTTGCTGCTATCACTGTCATTTTCACTGTTACTTGCCTTATTCATCTCACATTTTCTTTTTTTATTCAAGATTTCATATTCAGAAATTATTTTCTACTAAATTTCATGAGTTTTAAAATCTTACTCTGTCTATTATTATATGGATGATTCTGAAACGGAAATGGGTTGACTCCATACCAAATTACTTTGTTCTTTTATATCATATGCAGAGAAAGATTCAGTTAAAGTTTTTAGACTCTAGCTTGAATCTAGAGTTAAAAATGAGTTCAGCAATTTATTACACAAAGGACACTTGTATTCATGCTCGTAGAAATATTGATGTCTTTATCCATTTGACTTCTACTAATTTTTAGTGTATAAGTACTACTGATAGCAACTCTTGTGGATATGATGGAAGCAGGAGTTGACATACCAATTGCCTTCTTTTAAATTCCAAAATGTGAAATTTTTAGTAGCTTCTTATTTAATGCTGCTCTAGTGTACTGATTCCTCATAATTCTATTTAAAATATTAATATAAATAAATGAATTTTAAGTAAAATCTATCAATTAAGATTTATTAGATAGCATTTTTTTTGATTTTGTTTAAAAAAGGAATAGAAAATGTTTATTTATTTTCTGATTTACTTAATTTAAATATTCTTTAATAAATTACTTATTGAATGAAACCTTTAAGTTCAGAAAATTCATAAATATTTGTTTTTTGGCAATAAACGCCATATCCAAATTCAGATTCATCATCGAGTGATTTTTTGCAAATTACACAACATTCACTGTCTGATACAGTCCTTTCGAGGAATAGTTCGTCTTTGTTTTTCTCTGAGTAGGTAGCACTTCTTTGCTAAAATAATTTTAAAATTTCTTCTTACTTTTTTTTGATTAATTCCTTCTTTTTTTGAGCATCTTCTTTGTCTTCTTCCGTTTGAGATGTCCCTTTTTGGAAAAAGAGTTAGTTTGAAGAGGCTAACTATTCTTATAAATATTGGATTGTGTCTGCCAATTCTTTGACAAAATTATCTTTGTATTGTGTTAAGAATGTCAAGATATTCGTTACATGCAACTCTAAAGGCTCACGATTAGTATATAGATTTTAATTTTAAATATAGAGTAGTATAAGCTTTAGTATAGGAGTAACCAAATGCTACTAAGCTATGGATTTCTTTTATTAAAATTGCTTGCTAATTAAAGGTTATCTGATGAGATCCTCAATAAAAGACAAAGAATTCGCATTAAATATATATTTGAAAGAAGATTTTTGTGTTTGATTGAGCTCAGCATTACCTAATAAATAGATATGCATTTCTTTTGACTAATATATTAATTTTATATTTCAAAATTTTATTTATTTCATTTTGAATAAATTTACATTTTAGTATTTTTAGAAAGTCTTATCATGAAAAGAAGATTTAATCATAGGAGACCAATAGAAGAAGTTAGGCTCGCAGAGCTTACTATTACTTTCCATCAAAGAAAATTTCTTAGTAGATTTATTGAAGGTGCAAACTTGCATCAAGAAAGTAGATATATCTTAGTACTTTCCAAATGTTTTAATTAAACCTTCTTAAACCTCCTGAATAGAAGCTGATTTAAACTTTTAATTAAAGCATTTTATATATTATAAAATCTCAAATTTCATTTTTAATTTAATAAATTTAAATAAATTATTACCAGTTTATTTTATTATAAAACAAATAAACTTTTTAGTATTTTATAAAATATCAAGTTGAGAAGAAATATGGTAATTTAAAAAAATATGTTTATTTTACTTAGTGCATGAATGATGAAATGAAAGAATTAGTGTATTTTAAATAAGGCTAAATCTCATCAGAAGTTTTATGTAAAATTGATTATGCCAAACCGTATAGAGATACTTAATCTAACAGGCTGTATACTGTAAATGAAAAGAATTCACCTAAAACCTTTTCATTTTTTTCTAGGAAATCTGCACTGTCTTTTTTACTGTTGGTTACTAATCTCATATTTATAATGTCATAAAACTCTTTTTTAGTGCTGAAATTCTAGCAAATTTATTCAAGACTAAGCTCTTAGAATGCCATTTTCAAAACAAATTAAATGAAAACAGTATCATAAATTTAAAATCCTAGATCCTGTGATATGTAGGCAGTAGATAAATACTTAAATTCTTCGCCATGGAAGTTCCAAACGCCACAATCAAGTTCCTTTTATTTAATTGAATAGTTAATTTTAATATAAATTTAATAATAATCTAAAATATTTTACTTTGATAAAGGAAATAACATTTAAAGGATATTTCATCTAAGCTATGAAAAATTACCCAAACTATTCGTAATCTAAGTTAAGACTTCTAGCAAGTTAGTTGAGAGATTGGGAATTAACTTTATCAAAATCAAACTTGAAATAGGACATAACAAGAATAATTAAAGCTCTGTGCAGAGGAATATGAATTGAAGAGATATCGCTTAATTATTGCTTTTCGTACTTTTCAGTTGTTTCAATTATCTTCTTCATGATAAGCTTCATGTAATCAAAATGAATTTTGTTAAAATAATTTTGATCATTTTTTTTTTCAGAATGGAGATATGAAAGTATTCTTCTTAAAATAGAAATCATTAATTTTTCACAATCGCAGGCATTAAAGAAATAAGAATCTGTAGAGTAGATAGTCTCAAATTTTCTTTTAAGTTTGCTATCAATTTTGTAGTGCATTTTAGAAAGTATCTCGACAAATTTTTATCTGAAAATGTCTTTTTCAATTAGCTTTGATAAACTGAATTCTTTTTGGGAGATGTATTTTATATGATAAAAAGTCTTAAAAAACTGTTCAACAACACTCTTCTACTTAAATGAATAAGAGGCAAAAAGAAGCAACTTATCCAAAATATTTCCAAAATAATACTCATTCACGAAATTTTAAATTTTATTTGCATCTTTCTTTTATTCTTCACAGTCAAAGAGTGGTAAACTGTCATCAATTTATTCATCTTACTCCATATCCATATATATATTATCTTCATCAGAGAATTAACCTTCATCTTCTTCTTCTTCCTCCTCCTCATCGTAATATTCTTCGTCTTCACCTTCTTATCCTTCTTCTTCTTCAGTCTCAAAGTCTTCCTCTCTATCTTCTCCTTATTATTATTATTAGCCTTAAAGGTGCTGTTAAAGGCGTTCAGGTTCAATTTCAATTTCTTCGAATTGAACATTTTACTCTTTTCTTTCTTCTTCTTATTAATTTTCTTGCTGATTTTAATTTTACTAACTTTAACTTTAGTTTGTTTAATTTTCTTATTTTTAGATTTTTTCTGAACCCTTTCTTGACTAAGGCTTAACCTATTTGCTGTGATTTTCTGAGTCTTTTCTGTGTTGAGCCTTTTCATTCATTGAATTTTTACGACTGGAACCTTACTAGTTTTTAGCCATGAAATACTCTATAATATAATCCTCTGTCTTTTAATCTAGGACGTATCCTGCTAATATATCAGAAGTAAAAAGTTAAACGTTTAAGTCAACAAAATTAGTTAAAAAAGGATGTGAGTCTTTATTGTTCTTGCTATCATCATAGTAATAGAAGAAATTAAACATCTTAGTGTAGGCTGTGATAAGATTTTGTTTAAAGTGGTATAAATTAAACATGCTAATATAAAAGTTTTTAATTTTTTCTTGAACGTTATTGTTAAATGAGACAATATATCTTAGCATTAACTCAAGAATTGAACACTAACACTTATGTAAAGGATGAGTTTTTTTGTTATCAATAGTAACTCTAGAAATAATATCAGGACAGATGTGTCTGAACTTGAACCTATCTTCATCAAAGCGAATCTCGCATAAAATATGATTGAATAAATTCTATAAAACTGTATTTTTCATAACAATCTTATCAATAAGGACTATAGTGTATTCAACAACTTTTTAGATAGTTAAATTATTTTAAATTAGTTAAATCTATTATCCATTTTATGTGTTGCTAATCAAGTCTTCTATCTGGCTAAATATACAGTAGAACAGAAACTTAAATCCTTTTATGATATTATCTCTATATTTTTTATTTATTTATTCTATGCTAAGCTATTCTTGAGTCAAAAAACCTTTGTGATCAGAGCAAAATCCCTTTATTTAATTAAAAAAATTAAATGAAAAATGATAATTTATAAAATTGAAAATAATTTTTATCAAAGAATTGATTTAACATCACATTTTTATTGAAATAATAGACAAATAAATTATTTACTTCTTTTTTCCATGCTTCAATATCACCACAATCGCAACATCCTTAGCACCCTTTTTGAACAACAGTTCTATGGCCTCTGTGATCTCCTTTTTCAAAGCACTCTTTACAAATGATGCAAGTAGGATCCATTTCGCAATCGTAACACTTATAGCCAACATCATTTATCTTTAAAATTTTACCACAATATACTTTAATGTTATTTCCTGTTTTCCAAAATGCACTCAATTCCTCTAAATGTTTTTCCTTTTCGAATATTCCTACAAACATAGTCTTTTAAAGCTCAACCAACTATATAAATACAATAAAACCTTAATAAAATCATTATCAAATAATATAGAAATATATACAGTCTTTGTGCACAAATCACAAAGTTAATCTTCTGTCTTGTGCTAAAAATTAAAACATGGATTGCAAGAAAAGAGCTTATGAATCAATTCGCTAATATTTTTTTCAAACTAAGAAAGATTCTAGGGTAAAGTGATCTAAGAAAACTTAAAAATCTCCTTTTATTCGGATGATTGAGATTAAGGTGGATGTTAACCAAACTATTATAATACATTTATGCCCTACTACTATAGCATTTACATTAAATTATGAATGTTATTCATTTTTGTTATTGATACAAATTAATTAATATTTTTAAATCTTTAGAATTAATTTTTTTTAATTAATATTTTTATTTATATCCACTTTTCTTTCTTTATTATTAAAATATCGCGCTTTCTAAATTGCGAACAAATAAACTAATTAATTATGACTTATTACTTATGTTCTTTATAATAATTTCTTATGTTTCTTTAAGAAATATCTAAAAGATAATATTTTTGATTGCTCATATATTTTACAGCTTTCTATTTTTTGGCATTGAACATTTTAATTATTAAGATTAAATAGAAATAAATGATATTTTAAATCAAAAATTAAATACACTAAAAATATTCAATTTTTCAATATTTGAGAATTATTTTATTTAAAAGTTTATTTTTTTTAGTTATTTTTTTAATAAATTTTAAATTTCTTAAATGATTTGAAATTGAAGAGATTTAAGGTATTTAAAATGAAAAAATTAATTTAAATTAAAATAATTAACTAGTATAATTTACAGGAAATTAATTAGTAAATGATTTAACAACTAAAAATATAAATGAGAATAGTAAATTTCAATTCTAGTACAGTTATTTTTTCATCAGATTATTTGATAACTTTAAATATGTTTAGTTTTCAAATACCAAAGGGAGTAGAGTCTTTAAAAAGACCAGTTAAGAAAACTATTTAAATTGTAGTGATTGAAATCATCAATACCATCTTAATAACACTACACCATTTAACCTTATTTTCAGTTGATTCCAAAACTAAATTACAATAAAAAAGCATGAAAACAATATTAATATGATGTCAAATTTACTTTGAGCTTGCATGTCAGTCTTCATCAATTAATGTCTTAAGTTACTGTATATGACATTCAATTAGTATTGAGCATCTTAAAGAATATCAAATGTCTTTTCCAAAGTTTCTATTTTTATAATTCAAAATTTTAATAACAAATATTTTAATTGAATATGATAATTTTTTTATTTTTCACTATTTATTTGATTAATTTTTATTAAAATGTTTTTGAATTAAATTTATTAATTTTAGCAAATTTCATTTTTTTGCAAATTCTTGAATGATTTTATGTAAAAAAATATTTGGCTATTTTTATTAATTCTAACTAATTTAATTTGCTTTACTGTTTATTAAGCTTAAATTTGGATATCAATAACTTTCTATGAATGTAGAATATTATCAAATAGGATTTAAATAGTCAAATTAATGTTAAGTTTATTTAAAATAATTTATTTACTATCATTAACAAAGCTTTCATCCATCTTTTCTCCTCTGATGAATTCAAATTAAAGAATCTTTCCAGAGCTGTCGAGGGATTAGAAACAGACCTTATATTCTTTAGGTTCTTGAGACCATAAGCTGTAGGTTGTGGATTTTTCCTTTTCTGTGGTGTGGACAGGTTGTTCATTTAGCTTGCTTGCATCATAAATCTAATTTATTCATTTAAAAACATATTAATTTTGCATAAGTTCCTTTTTACTTTTGTTGTAAATTAATAATCAATCTATTTATTCATTCATTCTACCAAAAATTTCTTTTAAGAAATTTAAAAATAAAAGCTATAAAAAATGAGCTTATAATTTTGAATAAATAAAATCTCCTAATTTTTGAAGGTGAAAAATATCTTTTAAATGTGCTAACTAAAATTGTTTTAATGTTTATTTAAAAAATAAATACAGTCATTCTGAATTCTTATGCTTTATATCCTGTGACTTCATACTAAATATTAACAGTTTCCTTAGCAGCGAGATCTAAATAAAAGCAGTGGGGCATTCTATTTCCTATGTTAAGATCTAAGCAGCTGATAGTGCCAACTGCTAATGCTAATATCAAAATAAATTGGTTTGATTTCATCCTAAAATGGTATATTATTGAAAGAATAAGTTTACTGTTATTATTTTATTATTTATTTAATAAATATGTGAAATTAAAGATATAAATTCTTTTACTTTTAATAAACATAGAGAAATTAACAATGCAAAAAATATCTTTGTGAATTTTGATATCAACGCGTTGGAATATACAATATGATTTTTTATAATATAAGATTTGCCTAATCATTCATTATTGTTGCTTGTTTGTTTTTATGTATGTATTTTTTATCATAAGATGTTTGTTTCTTAATCAGGAATCATAAACATTTAACATAATCAAACAAAAGCTTATTAATAAGCATAAATATATTATTTTTAAATATATTTTAAATTGGATGTATTCAATCAGCTAGCTATTTACTAATTATTTTTAATTTTTGAAATATCTATCAATCATTTCGTTATTAAATAATAAACAACTTTTACTTATTTGTTTTTTTATAAAATATTTTTTAAAAATTTTTATCAAATTGTTTTTTAAAATGTTTTGAAATAATTTAATGATTAATCAATTTGTATTTATTCATTTTTTATTATAGTTAAATTATCCAAAAAATAAAACAAAAAATGAAAGAAAATAATATCAAAATTTTATAAATAACTCACTAATTTAATACTTTTTTAATTATATTTTAAGATAATCCTCTTTCATTCAAATGTAACTCTATTAAGGAAAATTTTTTTACTTATTTAAAAAATTTTCTCAAAAAATATCGAAAATGAATAAAAGTGAGTCTTCCTTAATATAGGAGAACCTACAGTATATAAATAAAAAGATTAATTAATTCTACAGCAGATTTTCAAATCAAACAAAACAATTTTATTTTTTCAATTTTTTTCATTGAGTCTTATATTTATTTATATTATTTTTCTATTGAATCTATTAGACTGTTTTTTCATAAGATATTTAAAATAAATAAATAAAACATCACATTTTCTCAATAAGTTAAAAAGAAATAAATAAGTAATAAATTTTTAAATAGATAAAAGATTCTGAAGTAAGTAGGCTGTTAAATAGTATTTACAAAAAAAAACAATTTTATAAGTAATCAAATTTAACTTTATAAAATATATTTATTTATATTAATTTAAAGGCAATTAAATAGTTTTTCAGTTACTTGAAATTTCTTCTTCCATTGTATATTCATTTTCACTAAATTCGCTGTCTTCATTTTCATTAGATTCGCTCTCTTCATTTTCATTAGATTCGTTGTTTTCATTTTCATCAGATTCGTTGTCTTCATTTTCATCCGATTCATCATTTTATTATTTCAGTTCCTCCTCATTTGTGTATGGTTATTCAAAACTTTAAGTCGAATGATAGATAAACCCATTATTAAAAATATCAATAGATAACTTAATTCCTTTTTCAAATATTTGAAATGGAATATTTGGAAGGTGAAAAGTGTGTATTTTTTTATCTTTAAATAATACTACATCATCCTCATCATATTATTATTCACAGCCACATTCAACATATGAAGAAGCAAAATTAATTTGATTCAATGAATTTAAGTAGATTTCATTAAATTTTATTTTCCCACTTATCTAATCATCTTTTTGAATTACTATCTGACTATAATTAATTTTTATAATATTATCAAATATTAAAACAGGATTTTAATCAAAAACACTTTATAATTAGTTTATTGATTTTCTTTTCTCAAATTTAAAAGCACTTTTAGATGTAATACTTTTTTTACCACAGTCATGAGAAAAAACATCAAAATCCTCACATAAATTATTTGGAATAAAATCATTTAATTTTGATAAATCTTATGCTTTCTCTACTTGTATTGATTCATCATAAAAATTTGTTAGTTCAAGTAATTTAAAAATACTCTCATCGCTACCATCTTAAATTTATTATTTCAGATTAATAGGTTTCGATTAAATTTTAACATTGTTAAGGTCATACACTCTTCCATTAAAGTAATCTAAAATTATTAGAATTGCTATTAATTATAAGGGGATGTGTTTAGGAAACCAATAATAATTTCCATCAGTGATATAAATAATTTCTAAATTTCTCTTCATTAAGAATACTTTTTCTAATGCATTATCATCATCTTATTTGATATTATATCTCATTTTAACACACTTATTAAATAAATCTGCTGAATATTACTGGTAATTAAGTTCTTTAGTCATATAGCAGGCCATATTAAATACTCTAGCTACATCATTGTCTTAGATTTAATCTTCAATCAAATAAATTAATTCAGTTCTGATAAATATTTTATGATTATCTAAGTAGCTATTACCTTCATGTTTACATTTCTAATCAAAAATAATACAGCTGTTTTCTTAAATTTAGTCAATCACAAAATCTTCAATAGTAAGAGGAGGCTAGTTTGAGTTTATTTGCTTGTTGGCTGTTAAGTAAATTAACATAGTATATTTAGAATATAATTTTTATGATCTATCAGAGAATGGAGTATCATAATGCGATTTGAACTTTTTATCTCCAGGCGCAAAATTATTCAGTCTAAAAACATTATTTACGTGCCTAAAATTTTTTAAATCAAAAAATTTACTTTCTTAAATCATTTTTGTTAAGCTGTAAGAAAGTTGATTTGAGTGAAAAATTAATCTGTTCCCTCCTCTTTATGAATTATTTAAAGGTTGAGTATATAAATTGAGTTTATCTAAAGAAAGGAGTACATCTGTTGATCCGTTGATTTTAAAAAGTTATAATTTCTATTTTTTCATAGTCTTTACTGCTTTTAGTTGGAATTTGACATTATTGAAAAGGTAATCTAGATTAAGAATGTTTTCAAAGTTATGATATGAAAGATCTTCCATATTTACAAATATTACAGAATAAATATTATTGGATTAAATAAAATCATTCTTATTAAGGAATTTTTATAGAATATCTGTTTCAACGTATTTCATAACTTTTTTAGATTAAGTAGGGTACGGACTTACCTCAATGTTTTAAAATGTGAAACTTTGAAGGTCATCAGGAATAATTATATTTTCTTCTTCTGAAGATAATGTACCTTATATAAATTTACTCGTGATTAAAAGTCCTTTTTATATTTTTTATTCTTAAGTTAGGTTATCAAATTCCTATTGATAAATAGTTTAAGCTTCTTATGACACTGACCACTATCCACTTTCTTGATACATTTTTATTTCTACTTATTATTTTTTAATCCTATTAATTATTAATTTATCAAAGATATAATTTAATTTTTTAAATCAACAAAAATTGTATAATCTAATTAATTCTAAAAATTTTTTTAATGAGAATGCGCCAATACAAATAAAATTTAAAATAAAGAGCTTTTTTTTTATTTATCAAGGATATTAAATTCAAATTAAATCTATTTTGGTGAATTTGATAAATGGTTAAAAATCAAATTACTAAAAATAGTAAAATAAAAGAAATAAATAAAAATTATTAGAAAAAAATATTTATTTTTTGCATATCAAATTTGAGCATATTCATTTTTAAATATTTCATAAGATTTTTATTTGAGAAATTCATTTAAAGAGGGTATAAAAGTTATATATGAATTTATGTAGGTTAATAAATATATTGAAAGAGTGAAAAATTATATTTTTATTTGAAGATTATTTTATCAAAAGACAGACTCATCCAATTAACAAATTTTACAATAGATTTAAATATTTTCTTTATAGTTTTATATGATTCAGGAAATTATTTTTTTATCTAATAAATTACTAAAGACATACTATTTATTAACAAAAGATATTAAAAATTATTTGAAGAGCTTCCTAATTATAAACTTTTTAATTAGTTTGCTTTGGAAAAAATAATAATTTTTTATTGGTGCAGATATTTAGTTTTTTTAAATGTAGAATTTATTGCATTTATTAAACAAAAGATATTATATCTGAATTTGTTCAGTTTTTTATAAAATTTTATTATGCAAATTATTTGTGATTAATTTTTTTTAATAAAAAATAATTTGTGTTTTCCTTCAATTTATTCTCATAAGGTTTCAATAATTGGTAATTAAATGAAAATAGATGAAATTATTAATCCATTACAGCTTTTTCAAGAAAATTAAAAAATTCATTTTTGAAAGATAAAAGACTAAATAAATTATCTTTAAATTCTGCTTAGAATATGAAATTCTGATTGGATTTGTAACAAAGTGGAAAATATTAAAATAAGTATTAAGTATATATGTCTTTCAAGTAAATTATATTGAATTAATCATATTTTGATATGATTAAACATAATCTAAACAGTTAAAAGGGGGAGGTTATGGAATCTGGTGGAAAAATTTTTTAAATAATATTTTTAATCTTAAATATATTTTATAATTTATATACTATGAGGTGCCACCGATTTGACTCCCTCCAATAAAATATGTTTATAATTATTATTAATAACATGAGAATTAAACTTAAGAGCAAAGTTAAGAGGTAAAAATAATTTTAAATTATTTTTTTCTTTGAAAAAAGATATGTTTTGTAAATAATTAAGAGTTATATAAAAAATTAATTTATTAATAACTAAAATAATCTAATTAGATAAATGTAAAACCTAATTAATTAATTTGTCTATTTTAGTCAAATTTACAAATTATTAATTGATGGAGATATTAAATTTTTTCTTATAAGATTGTGTTAGTAAGAAATTTTAGACAAATTTACAAATTATTAATTGATGGAGATATTAAATTTTTTCTTATAAGATTGTGTTAGTAGGAATTAAAATTACAGATTTCAATTATTTACTAGTTAGAACGAGTGGATACATACATATTTGCCAATAACTCCTAATTGAAATTTTGTTTGTCTGGGAATCATTGGTTTGCTTTGATAATTTGATTTTAAAAACCCATACTCCCACCTTAATTGTAATAATAAATAATAAATAAGCAAATACAAATTTGAAAGAAATATAAATACATTAAATTAAAAATATCTAATTCAAAATGTCTAAAGTAGGTGCAAACAGTTTATAGATATTTTAACATTTATTAAATGCCTTAGAGGTAAACTCAAATGTTAAGTTAAATAACCAAAATCATCCTAATTTTAAGCTCTAGAAATATAATTCTTACTTCGATTTGCAATTAGATAACGATGTTAAAAGTTATTTATTTGCTTATCCTGATGCTCAAATAAATTAGTTAGATTCTAACACTAATCTATCTCATAACTCAAGAGCTTTAAGTATCGTGGAAGTATTGAAGTATTTCTACATCAAAAACTAATCGAATTCTAGCCCTATCAAAAGTAGATCCTAATTTTTGGAATTGTGCAACCATTTTATGGTGGCTTTGAACTCAAACAGAGTTTACAACAATATTTAGTAAGTAAAATGGAGTGAATGGAATGTTTACTGGAGTACTCCTGATCACAAGGCCATTTGCTATTCTAATTGCTCAGGCTAATGCACAGAATCATGTGCTGGAGGATAGTGTATATATTACTTCCCACAAAATGAGCTAAATAACCCTAATTTACCAGCTAAAGAAAAGTAGGATCCAAACAATTCATTTAATGACAGCTTATTCTAAATTGCAAGTATTTTCAATATTTTTGTGTAAGAAGAAAAGAGTAATTTTGAAAGCTTCTTCTTCTTTACATAAAAATAAGAAGTATAAATTGACTAACTCGTTTAAAAACAAAACGAAATTTAAGTAGAATTTTTGTAAGGAAATGTGTTAGGACTAGGATCATTGGAAGAGCTGTATAAATTAGAAAAAAGTTAAATTAGATCATTAAGTATACTCACTTTACTAGAAAATAGCTAACCTAAGGGAGAAGAAGAAAGAAAAATACTCTATGACTTTATTTTGAGTTTGCATAACTTAGTTTCATTAGAAATTCAGCTAGAAGAAGGAATTTACAGCATAATAGAAGAAGGTTCATCATAAGACCCTCATGAGCTTGCTTTTTATAAAGAAGTTCCCCCTGCTGTAGTTTAAAATTTTGTTACATTCTTAACATCATTAAATATTGAAAGACTTTCATTAATATTAGATGAATTTTGCTTGTAAGCATCAATAGATTTGAATCCAATTATTTCTCATCTATCCTCTTTGAAATTAAAACTTAAAACTCTTCAATTATCAATTAATCATAGAAGGATGAGCAACGCATAACATATTCTTTTAAACATTTGTAAAATGCAACAACTTGAGCATTTAAATTTAAAGATAAAATATTAATGGTCTTATTTCCATGGTACATTTGGTTCAATTGAAGAGGATTTCAATAAATGGGAAGTTTAATTAAAATCTTCAATCAAAAACTTAAAGTCATTAAAAATTGAATGATTAAAAAAGGTTTTTATATTAATTTTTGTATTATATGTTTTGATTAAAATATGGAAAAATACAATAATTAATTAACTATTTCCTTTCTCTTTGTTAGTTTTTTAACATTCTTATTAATTTTGGTAGTAAATTAAAAAATTTGCCTAACTATAAATAAATATATAAACTTAGAAAGTTAATAAAATAAGTAAATAAATTTTTTCGAATTAAGAATGTTAATGGAAAATTATTTTGAAAGAAATACTAAAATAGAAAATTAAATAGTAATATGGTATTTAGAGAGGAAAAAGGAGATCAAATATTATTGAAATAAAATTAAAATTTATTTGGAAATAGAAAGAATTTTAATTAAAAAATAATAAGAAATCTATTCGAAATTTTCTAATTAAAAATTTATTTGATCTAAAAGCTGTTAAAGGCTTAGATTCAGATTACAAAGAGCTAAAAGAATAAAAGAAAGAAATAGAAACATTCTTATTAATTTTGGTAGTAAATTAAAAAAATTTGCCTAACTATAAACAAATATATAAACTTAGAAAGTTAATAAAATAAATAAATAAATTTTTTCGAATTAAGAATGTTAATGGAAAATTATTTTGAAAGAAATACTAAAATAGAAAATTAAATAGTAATATGGTATTTAGAGAGGAAAAAGGAGATCAAATATTATTGAAATAAAATTAAAATTTATTTGGAAATAGAAAGAATTTTAATTAAAAAATAATAAGAAATCTATTCGAAATTTTCTAATTAAAAATTTATTTGACCTAAAAGCTGTTAAAGGCTTAGATTCAGATAACAGAGAGCTAAAAGAATAAAAGAAAGAAATAGAAATTACAATTTCAATTATATAAAAATTAAATAATATACCTTTTAGGCTTATTAAAATCATTTATGTGTTTTAAATTTGTAATAAAAATAACAATAAAATATTTAATTTTTTGATGAAGAAATCTAAATTTTTTATTGAAATAAAGTTTGATAAAAATTTTAATTGTAAAAAAGTAGATTATTTTTATATAAGATTATTAATTTATTTCTTAAAAAGATTTTTTTATGAATAAGTAAGTTAATGAAAATTTGATATTCGTTTGGGAATATTAAAATTTGAAAAAATGTATTCATTTGAAAATGTTTATATGACAAAAGATTTTTATTTTAACATTTTATTTTTAAGTTTAAGATAATTTTAATCTGAATTATTTTTTATTCTTATTTGAAATTTTTATTTTTACTTACAATTTTTTATTTTAATTATTTTGTTTTTAAAGAATATTAAAATTTTTAGAAAGATTTTTTATGCAAAAACTTAATATAAAAACCAAAGTAAATTTTAATTAAAATAATTTTATTATGAATCACTTTAAGATATTAGATATTTATTATATATCTTCAGAAATCTATGTCACTTTATTGAATATCTAAAATTAAGCATTTTAAATTAATAAAACTGATAAGAGGATTTAATATAAGATAAGTTTGATTTGTATTTAGTTAGTAGAAATTATTTTTTCGATCAGCTAATCAATTAAAATTTAATTTGTATTTAGATCGCCGTAACACTAATTATATATGGCCTAGGCTCGTATTGAGCTGAGTTAAAGTGCAAGTTTACAAATTTTTAAAGTATTAAGAAAAGAAAAAAGTAAATATTTTGAATAAATACAAAAGGATTAAATAAATATTTTTGTTTTCAGTTATTAAAGCTTTTACTTATAGAGTTTAAAATTCTTTAATCAATCTCATTAATATTGTCTTTATCAGAACATTTTTTTAAAAACTTTTGAAAATACTAACTTTATAGATCATCTGAATTTATAATAGAAAATTGCTATTCAATGTGACTCACTATTTTAATGTATTGTAAAAAATATTTAATTTTTTAAATTATTTAGAAAAAACTACATTTGTTGGTCTAAATTTCTAAAATAGGTTATTTTTAATCTAATAAATAGTTAGAGCATCCTATAAAACTTATAGAAGCTAATTGATCTTATGTTAAGAGCATCATTATTGCTTTCTTCAAAAATATTATATCTTTGTAAAATTATAATATATCTAAATCTTTTATCAGTTACTCTTCAATTTTTTGCTTAAGCTATTTATCTAAACCTTAAGATTTTAAATCCTTACTTCTATTAAATAAATATCATAAAAATAAATTAATATGAGTTGAATTTTATTTTAATTAAGTAAAATAAATAAACAATAAATTATTTACCTAAATCCAAATATTAACTTTTTTATAAATTTGTCTTAATGTTTTTATTTGATAGGCTGTTATGGATTTATATTTTATTCTTATTTTGGTTAATTTTAGTTATTTAAAATGATGCTTACTAATTAACCATTATTTCTTTCCTCTAAAGTATCTTGTGAGAAAATTTAAGATTAATTGTCTTCTTTTTATTTTAATTAATTATAATAGCTTAACTTAGGCCCTACATTTTAAATTTTAAATTTTGTATTTTCCATACTACTTTTCATTTCAGATTCACATTTTTAAACAATACTTATACATATTTATTAATCTTATTAAAGAAAAGGTGTAAACTTTACTTATTCAAATATGTTATTTTCTAACTGTTTAATAACTTAGTCTTATGCTTATTTTTAATCATCAATCTTTGAAGAATTTTTATGCTTGTCTTTTTCTTTCGTCTTTTAATTTTCTAATTAGTTGTCTTATATTTTTAACATTTCATTGTTAATAAATGTTTTATTTTATTATCTTATCGTAGAATTAGATTTTTTTAAGTTATTTGATTATAAAATCTATTGATAAATGTCTTAGTAAACATTCTTTATCAAAATTATAAAGAAATCTTCCTGCAAAGAACTTTAAGATATAAACTTCAAAAAGAAACCTAAAAAGACTAGCAAATTAAATACACTGTTAACTAAAGCTAGAACTGAAGGAATTGTTGGATATTGAATTGATATTTATGAATAAATCTAATCTATTTCCAAATTAATAATACTATAAGCATCGTATCCCAGCTTTTCCTTTATAAACTCTCTATTTAAACTTTAATTATCAATATTATAGTTAAAAGGCATTATAAAACTGGATTCTTATTAAATAAATAAACCATCTTTTATGGTAGTTTTCTAGTTTTATTATTTGATATTAGATGCCTTTAATTAATCTGAAGAAATCAAAATACTAAAAGTTTGATATGATTAACTCATTTTTTTTTTATAAATATCAAAATAAGATAGTGACATTTTTAATTCTATTTCACTACCATTTACAATTTTATCTATCTCCTATTAACTAGCGCAATTTATTTGTTGTGATTCGTCTAATTCATAACAACCTAAAATATACATAGTTATTTGAGTTAGCTTGTAATTGTAATCAAAATTCTATATTTCTATTTTCTAACTATCATCATAAAACTAAATTTAGTCAAGGCATTCAAACTATTGGCCTAAATTTGGGTCTTCACATTTTTTTGTTTCAATACCTACCTAATATGTATTTGTATCATTTTTATATGTACCCTCTATTACTGAATAGGTATATTTTTATTTTTCATTTGTAGGATTGAAATAATTAATCTTAATTGCATAAATATTTTAGTTTATATCTATCTATTGCGTTTAATTATTTATGAGATTCTAAGCTCTATAAACAGGTTCAATTTTATTACTGAAATATAACTCAGTTAAGTAAATAAAGTAAGATAGAGTTAGAGCTATAACAATTATTGTAAAAATTGCTCCGGCTATTGTTCCTTTTTAGATATTTGATCCTCCTATATTAAAATTGAAAGAACTTGAAAATAAATCGATTCTACTAAAACTCATTTTTAATTTCTTAATTTCTTAATTTTTACTTATTTGTTAATATTAAATATTTTTATAATCCATCCAACAAGTATATAAAGTTTTGTATTTTTTTACTTACACAATTTTAAATGCAAACAGTCTTCTAAGCTTATTTTTATTTTAATTATTTTTTGAAACAAAAATAATTTAGTTACAAAAATCTTGATATTAAAAAGATGGTAAATTAATTTAAACCACAATATCACAATTACAAATTTAATAGTAAAAAAAATAATTTACCAAAAGATAAACTGAAATTTTTTTTTAATTAAATCTGTTTAGCTATTTCTATTTATTTACTAAAAAAAATTATTTTATAAATGTAAGTAAATACATCTATAAATTTATTACAAATAATAAAGCTTACAGAAAATAAAATTAATAGATGTATCTAAATTTCATTTTCTATTTTAATTCTTATAAAATCTGTTTGAATTAGTTTTCAAATAATTTCATGTAAATAAAATAATTTGTCTTATGAATTTTTACTGACTAGTTTATGATAATTTTATAATTGATTGCTACTAAAAATAAACCACCATACTAAATATGTTTAGATATACTTTAGCTATTTTTTAGTTTAAAAAAGAAAACATATATTAAAAATTATAAAATATTAAGCATTAATGATTAAATTTATATAATTTCAATTTAATTGGCCATAATTAAAGTTAACATTCTTTAATCAATTCCAAACCATTAATGTATTCTTTTTCAAATAATTTTCACTCAAATTTTTAATTATAAACTGTTTTTAAAATTGTATTCGTTTTATTTCGGCTTAATTAAAAAAATCATGAATTTGATTTGATAATTTGTGGTATATTAGGAAAATAAGAAATCAATTAGATGTTAATAAAATTGATATATAATTATTTATATCTAGAAATGGACTGTCTATTTGTCTATTGAAAATTTAAATAAATTGATATGTTATATAATATAAATAGAAATTTTTAAAAAAAGATTAGAAAAGAAAAAAAATTTGAAAATAATATAAAATAAATTGGAATAAAAATAAAAAAATAATACTTGAATTTATGAAGCTAGACTTATTATTTTATAATATATTATTACAAAAATAAAAAAGTAAATATTTTGAATAAATACAAAAAATATTAAATAAGTTTTGTTTTGTTTTCAGCTAATGTAGCTTTTACTTATAGAGTTTAATATTCTTTAGTCAATATCTTTAATATTGACTGATTCATAGCATTTTCTTAAAAATTTTTGAAAATACTAACTTTATAGATCCTCTGAATTTATAATAGAAAATTATTATTCAAGGTGACTCACTATTTTAACATATCAAAAATTATTAAATTTTTTAAATTATTTAGAAAATTACATTTGTCAGTTTAAATTTCTAAAATCGATTATTTTAAATCTAATAACTAACTGGAGCACCCAATAAAACTTATAGAAGCTAGTTGATCTTATGTTAAGAGCATCATTATTGCTTTCTTCAAAAATATTATATCTTTGTAAAATTATAAAATATCTAAATCTTTTATCATCTATTCTTCAATTTTTTACTTAAACTATTTATCTAAACCTTAAGATTTTAAATCCTTACTTCTTTTAAATAAATATATATTATTATAATAAATAAATATGTGTTAAATTTTATTTTAATTAAATAAAATAAATAAATAATAAATTACCTTAATCCAAATATCAACTTTTTTATAAATTTGTCTTAATGTTTTTATTTGATAGACTGTTATGGATTTATATTTTAAATTTTATTTTATTCTTACTTTGGCTAATTTTAGTTATTTAAAATGATGCTTATTTATTGACCATTATTTCTTTCCTCAAAACAATCTTTTGAGAATATCAAAGATTGGTTATCTTCTTTTTATTTTAATTAATTAGAATAGCTTAACTTAGGCCCTACATTTTAAGTTTTAAATATTGTTTTTTCCTTACTACTTTCTATTTCAGATTCACTTTTTTAATTAATACTTATACATATTTATTAATCTTATTAAAGAAAAGGTGTAAACTTTTCTTAGTCAAATATATTATTTTCTTACTGTTTAATAACTTAGTCTTAAGCTTATTTTTAATAATCAATCTTTGAAGAATTTTAATGTTTATCTTTTTCCTTCACCTTTTAATTTTCTAATTAGTTGTCTTATATTTTTTACATTTCTGTGTTAATAAATGATTTAGTTTATTATCTTATCGTAGAATTAAATTTTTTTAAGTTATTTGATTATAAAATCTATTGATAAATGTCTTAGTAAACATTCTTTATCAAAATTACAAAAAAATCTTCCTGCAAAGAACTTTAAGATATAAACTTCAAAAAGAAACCTAAAAAGACTAACAAATTAAAAACACTGTTAACCAAAGCTAGAACTGAAGGAATTGTTGGGTATTGAATTGATATTTATGAATAAATCTAATCTATTTCTAAATTAACAATACTATAAGGACCGAATCCCAGCTTTTCCTTTATTAGTTATCTATTTAAGCTTTAATTATCAATGTTATAGTTAAAGGGCCTTATAAGACTGGATTCTTATTAAATAAACAAACCATCTTTTATGGTAGTTTTCTAGTTTTATTATTTGATATTAGATGATTTTAATTAATCTGAAGAAATTAAAATACTAAAAGTTTGATATGATTAATTCATTTTTTTTTAATAAATATCAAAATAAGATAGCGACATTTTTAATACTATTTCACTACCATTTACAATTTTATCTATCTCCTATTAACTAGCGCAATTTTTTTGTTGTGATTAGTCTTAATCATAACAGCTTAAAATATACATATTTATTTGAGTTAGCTTGTAATTGTAATCGAAATTCTATATTTCATTTTTCTAACTATCGTCTGCAAACTAAATTTAGCTAAGGCATAAAAACTGTTCATCTAAATTTGGGTCTTAACATTTTTGTGTATTAATAGTTACCTAATATAAATTTGTTTCGTTTTTAAACGAGCCCAATATAACTGGATAAGTATATTTTAAGTTTTCATTTGTAGGATTGAAATAATTAATCTTAATTGCATAAATATTTTAGTTTATATCTATTTATTGCGTTTAATTATTTATGATATTCTAAGCCCTATAAACAGGTTCAATTTTATTACTGAAGTATAACTCAGTTAAGTAAATAAAGTATGAAAGAGTTAACGCTATAACAATTATTGTGAAAATTGCTCCGGCTATTGTTCCTTTTTAGATATTTGATCCTCCTATATTAAAATTGAAAGAACTTGAAAATAAATCGATTCTACTAAAACTCATTTTAATTTCTTACTTTTTACTTACTTATTTATTTATATATATATTTATTATTTTGATAATCGATCGAATTATATAAACATTGTATTCTTCTACTTACACAATTTTATATCATCTAAGCTTATTTTTTATTTTAAGTATTGTTTCGAACTTAAATAATTTAGTTACAAATATATTGATATTAAAAAGTGGGTAAATTTAAATCATTATATCATAATTTCGAATTTAGTAGTCTAAATTTCATTTTCTATTTTAATTCTTATAAAATCTGTTTGAATTAATTTTCAAATAATTTCATGTAAAAAAAATAATTTGTCTTTTAATTTTTGCTTACTAGTTTGTGAGTATTTTTTTATTGATTTCTACTAAAATAAATGACAATCGTTAATATTTTAGATATTTTAAAAAAAAAAAAAAATAAAAATACTAAAATGCTAAAATATTAAGCATGATTTACAGAGTGTATTCTTTAATAAATTCAACTCCACTAATAATTTTAAAGAAAAAATTTTTAAAATTACTTAAATTTTAATAGCAAGAATTAATTCTCATGATGGCTTGCTATTTTATTGTTTAAAAGTTATCAATGAAATTTTTGAATCAAGAATTTAATTATTTACCTTAATCAGACTAAACATTTTTGATAAGTAGTGATTAAATTTAGAATTTTTTTATGCTCTTATTTTAAAGAGAGTATAAAAAATAATATATTGATGGTATATCTGGAGAAACTTTGTGCTTTATTTGTAGTTTTATTTTATAGCTTTCAAATTTACTACCAAATATTTTAATTTAAACACATAGCTAATTTAATTAAAATATTTTATTTAGCTAAT